TTACAATAACTCTGTTGATCATAAATGAGATTGAGTAAAGTGTTCATTCCAAAAATAATTTTCAAACTATCTTGTGTTCTTTGGAGAAATAAGACTTGTTTTTCTTCAATTGTGGGATTATTATCAAAATAAGCTTAAAGCTATCCACATGTTTTTCTATATCTCTTTAATATGACAGGATGTTGTTTGCAATTCTGCAGATGTCATAGCCCTGTTCTGACTCTGTAATTTTAAAAATGTGACATTTATTTCTGGAAACAGAATGTTATTATTAAATTCAGAGTAATTTGTGAAAATCAAGCAGAACTTTAAACTGTATGCACTTCTAAAATAAAAAAAGAGATGTGTAGTAGGGCCACCAAATCTGGACTGCAAAAATCTAGATGATCATAAGAGGGTAGCAAAGCTAGAATTTTCTGATTCTCTTTGTTGCTGTGTTCTGGTCATTTAGATTTTTGCAGCCTAATTTAGATCTTATAGTGAAAACTAGGATTGGACATTTAGGTTCATATAAAATGTAACAAATGTTCTCTGAAAAGGTCCTTGTCTTATTTGCATGAAATCACCAATACCAGTACTGATGTATCAGTCTAGATTGAAGGAACAGAATTCTTATTTGTATATTCTTAAATCTATGTGAATTCCTTCTACAGATTTCTACTCACGGTCATTCATGCCCTAGTCACCTCCCGTCTTGACTATTGCAACACCCTGTAAATGAGGCTGCCCTTGAAAAGCACCTGGAGGCTCCAATTGGTGCAAAATGCAGTGGCCCACATGGTTTTGTGCAGACTTCAGTGTGCACATGTGTCACCTCTCCTCTGGGAGCTGCATTGATTGCAATTCAAGGTGCTGGTTGTCACCTTTAAAGACCTTCATAGCTTGGGACTACTGTACTTTCGGTGTATAAGACGACTTTCGCAAGCATTAAAATTGGCATCAAAGTCGGGGGTTGTCTTATATGCCGAGTCGTCTTATATGCCGGAAATAACGGTAATTTCTGGCGTATAAGATGACTTTCTAGGCATGCGATCGGCGCTGAAGAGGAGGGTCATCTTATACGCCGGGTCGCCTTATACGCCGGCATATACGGGTAGGTTATCTGAGGGACTGTCTCCTGCCGCTCACATCCACCCGACCCACTAGAGCAGGGAGGCAAGGAATGTTGCAGGTTCTATCCCCTAAGGGGATACATCTGGTGGGACCCAGAAGAAGGGTCTTCTCCGGGGTGGCTCCCTCCCTCTGGAACATCATCCCTCCGGGAATTAGACTGGCCATCCACTCTGACGCTCTTTGGAAGGCCCTGAAGATATGGTTCTACAAGCTGGCCTGGGGAACCCAGAGCAGGATGGAGCCAATTAAATGGCTGGTATGAGTGTGTGGTATCACTAGGGTGGGTGTGGGTGGAGGGTTATTATTTTATTATTTCTATTTTTTATTATTTTTCTTTCTTTTATGCTGGTTTTTATTTCCTGTAAGCTGCCTTGAGTCACAATGAGCAAGTAGGCACAATGTAAATTTTCCAAATAAATAAATAAATGGGTGTTCTATAAGATTATGAAAGAGAAGATTTCTGAAACGAGTAGCATTATTTCTGGAATTAGAAAATGGTTATATCTTCAGTCCAGAGTTTCAGAAATGTATAAAAGACTGTATACGTGAATCTCAAAAAACACAATTCAATCATTGATGGTGTTGTGAAAAAATGCTTGGTTTAAATAAGAAACCAAACTGTTTGCAGGTAGTTGTGACAAAGTATACTTTTATTATTATGCACCAATTGCAGGGATCACGGGGCTCCTCATTTTAAATACTGCAAAAGAGCCCTGAGCAAAACAAGGCAACTACATATATATGGTTTGTTGCACAATAGAAAGGATGATAAAACGAACAATATGACCCATATACCGTAATGCTTTTGATAAACTTAGTGGAATGACCTCTTGTTACTTTTCAAGCTAATAGGATTTTACCCTTTTAGGTTAATATCAGCATGAACAATAAACAGCTTTGTTTATTGCATCCATATCCTTTCACCCCATTCTACTCACACTCTGAAAAATAGCTGTCATTCTCTTCTTGGTCTCCATTCTATGGTCTTAACACTAAACTGCACGCTTTTTAATATTTAAACCAGAGAATATATGATTTATATGGACTATGAAGAAGCAAGATAGGAAGAATATTAATGCCTTCAAACTTTGATTTTGGAGAAAACTCTTGAGAATACTGTGGACAGCTGAGATAACAGACAGATGGATCATTGAACAAATAAACGCAGAGTTCTCACTCAAGGCACAAATGAACCAGGCTCAAATTATCCTACTTTGGACACTTTATGCGAAGAGCCATCTCTCTGGAAAAGGCTCTAATGCTGGGAAAAGTAGAAGGAAAGAGAAGAAGATGGCCAGCAACAAAGCGCACAGACTCAGTTACAGTGATGATGAGTGTGAGGGAAGTTAGACCCCCCAGAAGGAAATATTAAAAAGGAAAATATATTTTTCACCAAAAGGATTTTTTGAAAAGCAGAAACCAAACCTGGCCCCAAATTTCTTTGTCCCAAGCAAGAGCTAACCTCATAGAAATGCAGATATAAGACCATTAGGAAGGTTGGAGCCAGGGAACTCAAGACAAAGAAACTCGTAAGAGTCATTAGCCCAGCCCCAGGGAAGCAGGAGATAACTTTTGGGATATAATAGGACTAACCCATTACCAACAAGTATACCATAGAGGCACACCTAAAACTCAGGTGAGAATACGTGACACAGGAAATAGCTTCAAAGTTCATGCCACAGGAACAGGAAACTATTCCAAACAAAAGGCTAGAGGGGATATAAAAACCTACAACACCATATGCTCACCCCTTCTCTCCTCTGTTCTTTCCTGAAGAACCATCTTTCTGCTTCTTCAATAAACTGTAACCTTCTTCCCAAAGCAGTCGCCATGTTTGCTTATTTATTCCCAGCTTGGATGAACCAGGATGAAGACTTTACTTCTAACAAGTGCATTGTTGGGAAAGATGAAATTAAGGAGAGATCGTCATAGGAAAAAAAATCTATGTATGTAGTCATTAGGAATCAAAAATAATTTAATGGTACATAGTCAATCAATTTCTAAGGCATAAAAATGAACATATGAATTAGAGCTCCATAATGCATGACTCCCTAAGTACCCAGAACAACATAATGCAGTTAACAACCATGCATGTAGCTGTCTTTAGAGCTCTAAGTAGCACATTTAGAGCAGGGGTCTTCACACTTGTCCCTTTTATGACTTGTGGACTTCAACTCCCAGAATTCCTCAGCCAGGCAGTACCTGGTTGAGGAATTCTGGGAGTTAAAGTCCACAAGTCATAAAAGGGACAAGTTTGAAGACCCCTGATTTAGAGCATCATCAAAGATAAAGAACAAGCATCCAGCTGTGGTAAGAAGGGATGGGATAAGAAGAGAGAACCTCAGGAAAACTGATTTCAAATGAATCAGCAGAGAAGTAACCTTGCAGCAATAACTGTTTCCCAATTCAACCACCTTACAGGAAGACGAAACTAAATATATGCCATCCTAGGTGTTTTTTTAAAAAAAGAATAAAATACTGTATGGTAAACAGGAATTTTAATTTGCAACAATAACAAACTTTATAGGGCCCAGGTTATAAAGCCTTTGGACTGAAATGGGAAACATCTTGGCTGTTTCCTTTCTAATAAATAGCAGTGTGTTCCACATTTAATCTCAATTCTACTTCAACTGTACCTAGCGTCTGACATTTACTACTGTTACTGAATAACCCACATATAAATTTCCTCATTTGTGAGCATTTGCGGCTTTTCCTGCCCAACTCAGATTAGTTTTCCATGCAAATATTTTCATCATCCATTGTTACTGATTGATTTGGCTTCACTGTCTGGATTGAATGGCTGAATGATTTCAGTGATTTATTTTTTCTGATGGAAGGACTTTTTTGCATAATGCTCATGAGTTTGTATCTTAATACAGTAAAATTATTTTAAGGTATGCACCATACTTTGTGCTTCTTTATGTTGTCTTTTCAAATTTAAAAACAGCATTTGATTCCATACCCTGAGAAAAACTCTGAGGAAAATTAGCAGCCTCAGCAGTTGATAGCTTCACTTCAAACTTAATCAGTTTTTTTAATACGTACAATACATTAGCACGCAAATCAAGACTAATAACAAGGGGGACTTAATTGGGCCTTTCCCCACCTATAAAGGAGTACTTGCCCTCTTGCAGTTTAATTTTTAAATTAATGATATAATTGAGGTTTTTGCCAATCTGGACTTTGCACCTCCATTTTTTTGAAAATTGTCCCAATAAATAAAATATTCTTTTATATGAAAATGATGTAGCCATTCTCTCTTTATTAAGATTGACGACATAGGTATCTTGTAGCAAAGGTATTTTCATCTACTGTGATAGAAAACAATTCAAAATCAATCACTCGAAAAACAATTAATAGCTACAATATATGTGGTGTTGTGTTTATTGCCTAATAAGGGAAAAAAAACAAAATAGAGCTATTCTGATAATTCTGATATATTTTTCAATAAGAGAGAGATGAGAGATTGATACTATACCAGGGGTCTTCAAACTCGGCCCTTTTATGATCATGGACTTCAACTCCCAGAATTCCTCATCCAGGCATGCTGACTGAGGAATTCTGGGAGTTGAAGTCCATGAGTCATAAAAAGGCCGAGTTTGAAGACCCCTGTACTATTCCATATGCTATATACCATGTTAAATTATATCATGCTGTATACCACGGGTGTCAAACTCGCCACGTCACGTGACGTGTCGTGACATATCGTGACTCTTTTTGTATTGCCGGCAAGGGGGTGGGCGCAGCTTCGGTATGATGAAACCAGCTGGCAGTTTGACACTGCTGCTGTATACTGTGATACCATGAGCAGTACAATAAAACATGTTAATAAAAAAGTAGAAGTAGACAAAATATTGCTTAACTGTGTTTGGCTGTTCTACTTTTAGGTGCATTCTTGATTCCGTATGTCATTGCCGTGGTGTTTGAAGGAATCCCAGTATTTCATCTTGAACTAGCTATTGGACAGTTCTTGAGGAAAGGCAGCATTGGCGTCTGGAATCATATTTCGCCCTATCTAACAGGAATCGGTAGGTTATGATTTGTTTTCAGTGTTGCCCATTCCTACAAATGCCTGGGCTTCACAAATGGGAAAGAAGAAATGTTATCATACAAAATTCCCTACAATAGCAATCTCAAACGGTGTTAGTGGATTTTGAAATGAAAGCATCTAAATACATAGGGTCTTCCTAAGAACCCACAAATATACTTTACAAATTAAAAAAAAAGAATATTTAACTTGCTTATCCGTTCATAGAAATGGATACTTGATGAAGTTCTATGGCTTCCAAAATGAAGAGGTTCAAGAGATTGCGAAAACTATTTTCACATTTTCTAGCAAATATAAGAATCAATACTTCGTTATTATTCAATATTTGCAATTCCCTATTTTTTTTCAATTCTGCACCCTAACAAAATTAAAATAGCATACTGAGGGAAAGCATTAAAAATGAAAATGATGTCAGAAAATTAAGAAAAATGATTTGCAGAAATCATGAAAAATTTATACGTACACACATACATACATACACACATGCACACAGACAGACAGATGCACACACATATACACACATACACATACAGCAATGAACATCAAAACAATACTTACTTAAATTAATGTACTTGGATGCACACTTTAAAAAAATTCTCAGGTTCAAAAGCCAAACTTAACATACTTGAAAAAATAAGAAAGCATTCACAACATTAATTTACAGATTTGTTGGGAGCATATCAATTGTGTTACTGCAGCCCTTCTATCTTGAATGTTCAGAACATGGTGAGCATCAATTCATACATGTCCAAAGAACACTTTTTGCTTGATAGCCACCAATATAGTATATTCAGATATTGCTTGCTATATTTGACTTTTGTACATTTCACAACCACCTAGCAATAAACAGTATCAATTACTCCCAAATGGTTGTGTTGGAGATGATCTGAAAAGTTGAGTCTCCAAAAACATGATGTAGTATCCATGTTCTGTTTTTTTTTTTTTGTTCAACTGAGTCTGCTTCTAGGACACTGTCTAGGATAAGTCCATGCAGTGTTCTTGCAAGATTTTTCAGAAGTAGTTTGCCATTGTCTGTTTCCAAGGCAGAGAGATGGGCAAAAGTCACCCAGCTAATTTTGTGCCTAAGACAGGACGAGAAATCATGGTCTCCGGTTTCTAGCTTGATGCTTTAACTATTACACAAAACTGGCTGTCTAGTATCCATTATCTGTATCTGTATCTGAAAGCCAAATTGTGATCCTCATCTTTTTAGTTGCCAAACATTTTTTTAAAAAACCTTGAAGTGTTGCTAAAACTTCACGGTTATACTACTACTACTACTTTTATTATTGTAATTTTATACAATATTAATTGTCATCATTACTGCTGCTCTTAATTTTTAAACCTGGCTATTATATTTTCTATTATTCCCAAAGGTGCTTTTTCAGGAGGCAACTGGACTTTCTTGTTTTTCTTTGAAGACATTTCGCTTCTCCTCTAAGAAGCTTCTTCGGCTCTGACTAGATGGTGGGAACTAGAAGTCAGAGCTGAAGAAGCTTCTTGATTGAGAAGCAAAACATCTTCAAAAAAAAAAACAAGAAAGTCCACTTGCCTCCTAAAAAAGCACCTTTGGGACAACCATGACCTGGATGACTGAGAATCTCCATAGACATTGTCTACTATTACACATTTTTTAAAAAATCTTGATTTTGATGGATTTTATGCCAGCCAGGAAACTACAGTCATTGGGAGGCCTTGAAGCTTAATCCATCAATCATCAAGCAGGAACTGTGCATGATGACCTATGCCAGGTTGCGTGCATGGTTCCCGTTGATAGCACTATGTTTGCCTTGAAATCAGATGAGGATAAAGTATCTGTGATAGCTCTGCCATTCCTGTAAATGTTTCCTTAATGCTGTACTTGTTAAATGATAAAATTCACTTACATTTGGGTCCTTCTTGCCCGATTCCCATGTTGGCCATACCTGACCTTTCATGACAGATCAAAACCATTCTCAGTTAACGTCCTAGATTAGAAAGACACCTCTGATGAGACTTCATAGAAGCAGCAGCACTCTGACAAAAGCTAGAATCACAGGACGTTTGTCTCTGCTTTCACTTGAGCAGGGAATGCGCAATTTATTTCTACATGTTAAGCTCATATAAACACATTATAGTACAGTTCCAAAACTGTTGGCTGGAAACAGGAGTTTATTGTGTGAGTCAGGCTTTTACAGTATGCCTGAAGGAAAGGCTTCCCCCCAATTCCTGTCTGTTGGTGCTGTTGTTGATTTCCTTCTGTCTGTGCTTGCTTGTTCCATAGGCTATGCTTGCATGATGGTATCATTCATAATCGGCACGTATTATAATATGATTATTGCCTGGGTGTTTTGGTACCTAGGAAACTCTTTCAAGGAACCTTTGCCTTGGAGCATCTGCCCGCAAGACTCCAGCAAACCGGGTGGGTGTGTTTTCTATATATTTTAACTGTTTTCATTCATTAGCAGCTGAGACATGTTACATGTATCCTTTACGTCAGGGGTCTTCAGACTTGGCCCTTTTATGACTTGTGGACTTCAACTCCCAGAATTCCTCAGCCAATGTGCCTAGCTGAGGAATTCTGGGAGTTGAAGTCCACAAGTCATAAAAGGGCCAAGTTTGAAGACCCCTGCTTTATATCAACATCACAAGTTGCCAGATCTGATATAGTCCTGCACTTGTCCTCTTTTGTCTTGTATTGGCACAGTTGTATAGACAACTTCTACCACCATTACCTCACTCCAAAATGAAGACAAATCCTTACCAGAGCTTATAAGAGAAAACACACATCTATGAGGGAGAGGTGGTGTTGGGGAGCAGAGTGTGGCTTAGATAAGTAAAAAAGATGGAGGAGGAGAAGAATGACTCCTGATTCTTGCTTTCACATTACTGTTTGTGTCCAGTATGTGATTAGCTTAATCAAATGTTCTTAACCTTGCCTAATAGCTATAATTATTCACTACAAAGTTTGCTGACTCTGTAGTATTAGCACCCAGCATGGTACACTGATCAGTATAATCAGCAACATTTCCTTAGTGGCTGCTGGCTCCATGTCCCATTTGATTTAAAAATTAAATTAAATGAGAAATTAAAACAGAAGGTTAGCAAACAACAGCAAAAAGCTTCTAGCATTTTCCCATTAACTCCCAGATGCTTTTAGATCCATCATAAGCCACAGAGAATATTTTTGAAAGTCAAAATGGTGGGTACCCACCACCTAGAATTTGTTTAGAATTGAGCCTGGCTTCCCAGAAAAAAAGATAAAGCAGGGGTGTTTTTCAGTTAAAGTCAAAAAGGGCAAGATGACTGTGCAAACAAAGCCTTAGCCCTTTTTTCTGTGCACATTGTGATGCATATAAAAAGGGGCAGGACGTCAACCACATGTTGTAGTTGCTCTCCTGACTTCTTTTATATCTTTCCTGTGGGCACTCTTGGATCAAGGTGGTAGGTAGATACTATTGGGAGAAGGAAACTAAAAGGAGGCAGCTTTTGGTAATTGGTCTTTTGCCAAATCAGTATTTTGGGAGCTCTTCATGGCAGCCATCTTTTAAGAATATGACTAAGCAACAAGATTTTGAAATTTGGCAAGTCTGTCTACTACCTGAAAAGCTTAAGGACTCCTAATGCACATTTTCAACCAAGGCTTCAGAGCCTCATTAAATGTTGTGTATCACTCGAAAGAAGAGGGTAGGTCCAAGACTTCAGTGTTTCTTCATCGAGCATGAAGAAAAAGTGGCATTTTTGACCTACCATCACAATGCACTTTAAATGTCTTTTCTGTGTACACTTCATGAATGACTCTTGCCTTTGTTGCATCAAGCAGTATATTTGGGACATAGAAAAGATGCTGATCAGAGGTAATAAAGCCTATGCCTTTATAGACATTCAATAATGGGTTGTTTAGAATCATAGCAAAAGTACAGTGATAGCTTCAATATTTCTGGACTTAATAGTAGTAGTAGTAAAGTTGGAAGGGACCTTGGAGGTCATCTAGTCCAACCCCCTGCTCAGGCAGGAAACCCTACACCATTTCGGGCAAATGGCTGTCCAGTCTCTTCTTAAAAACTTCCAGTGTTGGAGCATTTACTGCTTCTGGAGGCAGGCTGTTCCACATTGATGGAATGGCACAACTCTCTGCAGCCGATTCACCCCAGCCATCTCGTTCTGGTCAACTTGCTGCAGCTAACTCAACTAACTTGCTGTGGGACAATTCAACATAGGATAGCTCAAGAGAAGGATGAGGGAATTGCAGCTAGCCTTTTCTTGCTTTAGGTTTGAATTTTCTCAAGTTAGAAATCCTCAAGGCTTGGGTGAGCCAGAGTATGGAGCTCCAGCGGCCTGTTGGCCAACTGTGGAGCAAGGAGAGCATGCCTGGATAGTCCTTGCACAGATCCTGGTCGAGGAAGCAGTGCATCTGCAAGAAAAAGCCTGCCACCACTTCTTCCTGGCACGTTGGCTGAGAGGGCCAGCCACTCTGCTGACATCCAGGCACTCCTTGTAGCAGAGTAAATAGGCCGATCCCAAGAATCCCCAAGGAATCCTTCATTGACTGGTTGGGAAAATGCCACTGGACCAGTTAGGAATTCTTTCTGGCTGATTAAATAGCTCTGGAGAAATTTTAAACTCCTTTTAAAATGAAGCCATTGAACAGCCCTGAGTTCACAGCTTCCCCTTCCAGCCCTGTGTATTTGGTGAGGCTCGAGGTGCAGGAGCGGTACTTGAATGTCAGCAGAGTGGCTGGTCCTTGCAGCAGGAGTGCCAGGAAGAAGCGGCAGTGGCAGGTATCCTCACACAGATTCACTGCGCCCTCAGCCTGGACCCGTGCAAGGACTATCTGGGCATGCCACGCTTGCTCCATGGCTCAGCTGACTCCATGCTCTGGCTTACTCCAGCCTTGAGGATTTCTAATTAAGGAGGTTCAAACATAAAGCAAGACTAGGCCCGCTGCAATTCACTTGTCCCTCTCTTGAGTTATCCTGCATTGAATTGTCCCACGTGAGTTGTCCCATGGCGAAGTAGCTTCAGAGAGTTGTCCTGTGGCAAGTTAGCCAGGGTGGGTTGGCTGGGGCAAATTGTCCTAGATCCAGAAATTGAGCAGCTTTTTACACCTTTAATACAATCCTAGAACAGAAATAGAAATAGGCTCATGGTTGTTCCACAGCGAACTATTTTTTGCTCTTACTTTTCCATTTGGGTACATATCACATCTTCCAAGCTCTAAAAGGATAGTTTTCGTATAGATCCAGCTGAAGAAGACATGCTTCAAATGATTTCTTTAGGCTGACTTCTTTATATTCAAATTTGGGTGGGAGAACTTTTACAGCCCCATCTAAGGAAGGTTTAAACAACTATATTCCAATTTGGTCTGAAATTAAAGTGAATAGCATCCCCTGCAATCATGCAACATGTAACAAGGACATCATCTGCATACATCTCTGCATAACTCATCAAACATAAGTAAGGGCATCAACTGAAAAAAAACAATGGCTGTTTTGCATTCTAGCTCAGGTGCAAATCTCCCTAGATTAAGAGCGTTTTATTCCCAGATAAGAATGCATAAGATTATAGCTTCTCTACAGATAATTAAGCTATAAATTTGCCACATAGTTAATAGAGTGGTAAATGTGTCCTTTTTCTTCTTTGGCATATACAAAGTCACTGATTGAAGCATGTTTTATGAGTAGAGATTTGAGATAAATTGACATTCACACAGGTCACTTTTCTATATGCCTTTTGAGGTGTGAATTCAAGTAAGTTTGTTTCTGGATCAGGAGAATGCAACCTTAGACAAAACTGAACAGTTGGCATGGAATCCTACTGTACTGATTGTCTCTGCAATTTTTCAGAAGCTTCTGAACAAAGGCAAACATTCCTGCCCATGTTTTTTTGCCATTTAAATAGAATCTATGAACAAAATATCAGATGTATTTATAATTTGAGTCTCATTGCATATGTTGGAAGAAAAGTCTTCATCATGGTTCAGTCCAAGCCAGGGATAAACAACACGGCGACTGCTTTAGAAAGAAGGTTGCAGTTTATTGAAGAGGAGAGCCAGACAGGAAGATGGCTCTGGCAGAAAAAGGAGTGAACACATGTAGGGAGTGGGTTTTTATACTCTCTGGAGCCTTTTGTTTGGAGTTGTTCCTGTGGCATGAACTTTGACCTGAGTCTGAGAGTGCCTTTCTGGTATTCTGATGGTGATGGGTTAATCCTATTATGTCCAAAGGTCATATCTTGCTTCCCTGGGGCTGGGGCTGATGGATCTTAGATGGGATATGTAGATTTTAGATCTTTGTCTTCTTAATCTCCTAGCTCCATGAATTTATATCTGCATCTATATAGAGCTGGTTTCTGCTTGGGGAAGGGAAACCTGGGGCTATTAAGAAAACTGGGTATGCTTTCCTGCCTCTTTAATATCCTTTGAGGAAATATATTTTTCTGCCTTTTTAATATTTCCTTCTCTGGGGGGCTGACTTCCCACATATATAAAGATAATTAGCAACCATCCAGTCTGCTTTGCTTCCTAAGGTCTATATGGACAATATTCACTTTCTTAAGCTTGTTCTTAGCAAGAACTCATGCCACTTAAAAGGATATTCCAATAAGTTGTTTGAGCCTATCCATTCACTTTATCCATTGTCTTCTACTTTTCTCAACCTTGCTACCTAGTAATTATTTAGTCCATCATCCATGTGCATCACACATGCAAAGTACATGAGTTCTGCTTGCTGACCATATTGTTCTGAGAACAGTCAGCCTTCATTTGATCTAGGACTAGCTGATATGCTCCTCTTGTAGCCAAATGTATTCTGGTACTCTTGGCAACCATTTCCATATTCATAATTTGAAGATGTCTATCTTCTTTACTCCATTCTTTCTCCATGTCTGGCTATCACCATCATACGTTATCATTAGACAGACCATTGCTTAACTATTCTGATTTTTGCTGTCATTGAAAAGTCATTCTCCTTCATAACCTTATTTAAATTTGTTATCCTCTTTCTCCCTAAGATTGGTCTCCTCCAGCACACTGTCCGTCTACTGTATATCTATTATTCTTGAGCCCAAGAAAACAAAACTTCACCTTTTTGAAACCATATATTCACTATAGTCACTGAGGGTGCCTTTCTTCTTTTTAATCTTAACATTAATCTGGATTTTTTTTTCTTTCCATTTTTTATTGTTGTGATGATCTTGGTCCACTCATAAGTCTTCATTCCAATCTCTCTTGTTCAAGCAAATAATAAACTTCTAGATGCTACTAAAAAAGTGAGCAGGCTGTGTATAATTAATATGTGGCTAATATATATGTGGTGTATTATCTGACCATATAACTAATATGTAAGGAATTTAGTAATCTTAATTTAGAGGGGGCATTAGAAATATAAAGCACTATTTTCTACCTGCATTGAAAAAAATTCATATTAACAAAACAATATGAATGATTAATGCCTCTAAGAGTTTTATTTCATGTGCCTCTTCTTTTAGAGCTCATCAAAGAATGTGATCATAGCTCTGAATCCAATTACTTTTGGTACAGATACACACTGAACATCAGCACAGACATCACACAGACTGGCCCTTTTCTTTGGTGGTTGATTGTATCTTTGGCCAGCTCCTGGATCATTGTTTACCTCTGTACAATTAAAGGAATCAAATCAACTGGAAAGGTGAGCAGTGTCTTCTTCCTGGAGTGTCTTCTTCCTGTATGGTTTTTGATGAGCCAACTAGCTAAATTTAAACTGATCCTGATAAGTTCTTTTTCAGGTATGGTCAGTTACATGCCCCAATTCATCCATTGAAATAATTATACTGTATAGTGGGACGTAACTTAGGAGTTTCTGATTTCTTCCATGGAAAGGGGAAAGGGCAGATCACTTGCAGCCCATGTTCACTCTCCCAGCATTCTATTTATTGGGTCCCTAGTGTGTCATCTTTTTGTTGTTAAAAAAATTCAATAGTGAAGCAAACCAGATTTTGGCAGTTTTATCTTTGTGTTGGTGGAAAGTTGGTCCATGATGTGAATAACACAGCTGGGCTGCTGTGGGAACATTAACTAGGACCTCTATAGTGAGGAACTGTTTGAATGACCTTCTTCTGCTTTTTCTCCCTTTGCAGGCAATTTATATTACAATCTCTTTTCTATATACAGTTTTAACTATATTCCTTGTTTATGGACTGACCCTCCCAGGAGCTAGCGAAGGGCTAACATATCTCTTCACTCCTGATGCAAGTATATTCCCACTGAATTTCTAGCTGTTTTTAGGAGTTAATTGTTTTATTGAGCCTGATCTAAACTTCTAGTTCTCTAACGATTACATTAAGTTTTAGAAAAGAGTTATTTATAATTTTTTACCCACTGAAGCTGCTAGAAGCCACGCATAGGGTGGTGGGAAGTATTGTGGGGTACCCAGAAACTCTGACACCTACACTGAGCTTTTTGAATGTGATCCTCTGTATCTCAGCCACCATCTGTAAGTGCTGAACTGTGTAATCAGTTTTGTAATTTCTTTGCTTATTATACCTTATTTAGAGAATCTGGGAACCTATTACGTTATTAACATTAACTAATGGTTGACTAGGCACATGGACTGGAAGCAGCACTTAACAGTGAGAGCAATAATGGCAATTGGGAAAAATGAGTGATCCTCTAGATCAGAGGTGTCAAACTGCCGGCCCGTGCCCACCCCAGCTCCGGCAATGCAGAAAAAAATCACAATACATTGCAACATGTCATCTGACACGGCGAGTTTGACACCCGTGCTCTAGATATTGTTGAACTCAAGGCCTCTTTGATCACAGCTGGTGTGATCAGTCATTAGAAATAACAGGAGGTATAGTCCAATAGCGTTTGCAGGGTCATAGATTTCACATTCCAGTATCAGATTTTATATGCTTTCTACAGCAATCTGTTATCTACCTTCATTTGTTCATTTGCTTCCTTGTTGTGCACCAAAACCCTAACATCATTAGGAAAGTTGTAATTATTATTTAGTTGCTGTTACCTTACCTAGGAATTATTCCTTTAATTCTTAGAATCTCACCAAGTTACACCTCACCAGTGTAAGAAAGAAAGAGAAATCCTACACCTACATATACCTAATATATACATATAGCACCTAGTTAGCATGCTTTTAGTAAATTTACTCATAAATAAGTTCTATAATCTATTTAATATTTAAGGTTTATTTTTATTTGTAAATCGGGGGGGGGGGGTGTTTCTATAGTGTTGTAGTAAACCATTTCTTTTATTGATTTGTGATTTTTAACTTGAATCTTGTAACCTCTTATAGAAATTACCCAAAATGGTGCTCGGGGATCTAACATAAAGATGTCAGCTAATGGGATTCACTGTATTTTCTACTTCATTTTTATTTCTTTTCTTTTTTCTTTTTTTCCAATTTAGACAGTTTTATTAGTTTATGTAAAAACATATAAAAAATACAAAAGCAAAAAGTAGGAAAAATAGGGAAGGGAAAAGGGAAGGGAAGAGTGAGGAAAAGAAGGGATGAAAGAAAGAAAAGGCACTGACTTCCGACTCCCTTTGGTGCAGTAGAATAAGGCATTAACATCAAACCTCAACTTTTTAGTTTTACATACTAGTTTAAACTAGCCATTTCTATAACAACAAATCTATCTAATCTGTAAAACCCCAAATCAAAGTTTCATCTTTTTTCCACCTCAAGCACAAAGTCCAGAAGCGGTTTCCAAGTAGAAATAAAAGTATTTGTATTTTTTCTTTGAGCAAAGCAGTCAATTTAGCCATTTCATTTTTATTTTCAATTTATTTAACAGTTCACAGTCCTAAAAAATCCACGTGCGTGGCTTGATGCAGGCACTCAGAGTTTGTTCTCCCTTTCTTTAGCGCTTGGAGGATACACGGCATATTCAAGCTACAATCCACAAAAGTAGGTGTAAAGTAATCTAATTTTGTATGTCTTAACCCAGTGCTAAACATAAATTTCATTTATGTCAACAAAGTCAAAATCATTTCTCTATTGTTTTGTAATCAGTCTTCAAGATGGCAAATAAGAAAGGAAAGTTGGCCAGTTGAAAGGAGAAGGTCTCATTCGCATACAAAGTCCTTTAACGGTGACAAACAGCACCCTGAAAATCCTTTCTGGATATGTTTCATGTGATCTCTGAGATTTATTGGATTGCATGTGTTTATAAATGTAATTGCATCCTTTTTTTTTTGGCCACAGTTGTCAAGCAAATCAGTTGCAGTTGTTAAGTGAATCATATGATTGTTAGGCAAATCCAGCTTCCCCCCCCCCCATTGACTTTGCTTGTTGGAAGCTGGCTGCGAAGGCCATTAATGGCCCTTGCATGACCCCAAGCTATTGCAACCATTGTAAAGCCATACCAAGTGCCCAAATTTTGATCACGTGACTGTGTGGGGATGCTGCAATGGTTGTTAAGTGCAAGGAGTAGTAAGTCACTTTTTTCAATGCTGTTGTTACTTGAATGGTCGTTAAACAAATGATTGTGAGTTGAGCACTACCTACAATCAATCAATCCTCTTCCAATGGTAAGAGGGCTGAAGCAAGGAAGGTTTATTGATGAGTCCTCAGAAAAACTGTCACTGCATAATTTCACTTTTTTTTTTTACCGAGTTTTTACTGAGTTTTACTAAGTTCCATGAGACTTGCTTGGTGCCAAGATTTTACCAACCAAGTATCATCTTTTGACTAAGTTGCTGATAACATATTACTGCAGCATTATACCATTACTGCATGTGGCTCTTTGAGCCTTCTCCTGCGGTTCCCAGCCTCCTCTGCCATTTGCAGAGAGAAAGACAGAGACAGAAAGAGGCACTTGCACTTCCCTTCTCTCTCTCTCTCTCTCTCTCTCTCTCTCTCTCTCTCTCTCTCTCTCTCTCTGTGTGTGTGTGTGTGTGTGTGTGTGTGTGTGTGTGTCTGTGTGTGTAAAAAAGAGAGTGGCCTCACGCTGTTCTCTGACAACTGACAAGCTTATTGAGCAGGGCTCCTGCCTTGGCTGCATCTCTGCAGGAAGCAGGAAAGAGCCAGCCCAATAAGAATGTGTGTCAGCTTGTTGGAGAACAGTGTGAAGCCAGCTTGCCAGGTGAGCAGAAGATCGGAGAGAGGGGAGAGAGAGAGAGAGAGAGAGAGAGGGAGGGAGAAAGAGAAAGGGGGGAGAGGAAAGAGAGAGAGAGAGGGAGAGAAAAAAGAGAGAGGGGGGGAGAGAGAAAGGGAGAGGAAAGAGAGAAAGAGAGAGGGAGAGAGAAAAAAGAGAGACGAGAGAGAGGGAGAGAGGGGGAGAGAGAAGGAGAGAAAAGAGAGAAAGAGAAAGGGAGAGAAAGTGAGAAAGAGAGCGAGGGAGAGAAAGAGAGGGGGGAGAAAGAGAAAAAGAGAGAGAGAGAAAGAGAGAGGGGGGAGGGAGAGAGGGAGAGAGAAAAAAGAGAGAGGGGGAGAGAGGGGGAGAGAAAGGGAGAGGAAAGAGAGAAAGAGAGAGAGGGAGAGAGAAAAAAGAGAGAGAGGGAGAGAAAGGGAGAGGGAGAGAGGGGGGAGAGAGAAGGAGAGAAAAGAGAGAAAGAGAAAGGGAGAGAAAGTGAGAAAGAGAGCGAGGGAGAGAAAGAGAGGGGGGAAGAGAAAAAGAGAGAGAGAGAAAGAGAGAGGGGGGAGAGAGAGAGGGAGAGAGAACTCATGCACAGCACCCTCTATTTCAGCGGTTCTCAACCTATGGGTCACGACCTCATTTGGGGTCGAACGACCATTTCACGGGGGTCGCCAAACAAGCAGTCCTCCATTTTTTCCCCTTTTCCTTAGCTGTGCTACTCCCTCTTATTCTATTGGCTTTTGAAAGCCAATAGAATAGATTCTATTCAAGAAACTCTATTCTATTGGCGTTCAAAAGCCAATAGAATCTATTCAATAGATTCTATTGGCTTTCGAACACCAATAGAATAGACTCTCTTGAATAGAGTCTAATTCTATTGGCTTTCAAAAGTCAATAGGAATTGTCCAGACCTGGCCATTAAAGGCTGTTTCTGCACTGCTGAGTGTGGCAAAAGCCAGGAATCTCATCCGGCTCGGGGGCTGCCTGACCGCCGTGGGGATGTCCACATCAGCCGCCTCCTGGCGGGCCCGCTAATTGTGAGCTCCTGGCTGGCTTCCTCCATGAGTCAGGCGCTGTGGAGCCGCCCCTAATTGCACCCGGGAGGGTCCGACCGAGCCCCGGGCTGACTTGCGCAGCTCCAAAATGCCGCTTGCCTGAATTCTTTCTGCCTCCTGGGGGGAAGTTGCACCTCATGGCCCAATTATGGGCATTATTCCAGCATGGTCACTTAATTTGGATGCTTCTGTTGTTTTTATTGGTTTTGCTATCATTACTCTTTTTAAAAGTTTTTAGTATTTTTAATTGTAATACATCTTTGAACTCTAACCTGCCCAGAGTCACTGAAAGGAGAAACCAGAGATATTGAGGGGAGAGGAGAGAGAGAGAGAGAGAGAGGAAAGAGAGAGAGAAATAGAGAAGAAAAGAGAGAGGGAGAGAGGAAAGAGAGGGGGAGAGGAAAGAGAAAGAGAGAGAGAGAGGAAAGAGAGGAAGAGGAGAGAGAGGGGGGAAAGAAGAAAGAGAAAGAGAGGAAAGAGAAAGAGGGAAGAGAGAAAGAGAGAGAGAGAGGAAAGATAGAAAGAGAGAAAGAGAGGAAAGAGAAAGAGGGAAGAGAGAAAGAGAGAGGAAAGAGAGAAAGAGGGAAGAGAGAAAGAGAGAGAGAGAGGAAAGATAGAAAGAGAGAAAGAGAGGAAAGAGAAAGAGGGAAGAGAGAAAGAGAGGGAGAGGAAAGAGAAAGAGAGAGGGAGAGGAAAGAAAGAGAGAGGAAAGAGAGAAAGAGGAAGAGGGAAGAGAAAGAGAGAGAGAGAAAGATAGAAAGAGAGAGAGAGGAAAGAGAAAGGGAAGAGAGAAAGAGAGGTAGAGAGGGAGAGGAAAGAGAAAAAGAGAGGGAGAGGAAAGAAAGAGAGAGAGAGGAAAGAGAGAAAGAGGAAAGAGAGAAAGAGAGAGAGGAAAGAGAGAAAGAGAGAAGGAAAGAGAGGGAGAGAGGAAAGAGAGGGGGAGAGGAAAGAGGAAAGAGAAAGAGAGAGGGGGAGAGGAAAGAGAGGAAGAGGAGAGAGGGGAAAGAGGGGAAAGAGGAAAGAGAGAGAAAGGAAAGAGAGAGAGGAAAGAGAGAAAGAGAAAGAGAGGAAAGAGAAAGAGGGAAGAGAGAAAGAGAGGGAGAGGAAAGAGAAAGAGAGAGAGAGGAAAGAGAGAAAGAGAGAAAGAGAGGAAAGAGAAAGAGGGAGAGGAAAGGGAAAGAGAGAGAGAAAGAGAGGAAAGAGAAAGAGGGAAGAGAGAAAGAGGGAGAGGAAAAAGAGAGAGAGGAAAGAGAAAGAGAGGAAAGAGAAAGAGGGAGAGGAAAAAGAGAAAGAGAGGAGAGAAGGAGAGGAGAGAGGGAGAGGAAAGAGAGAAAGAGTGAGAGGGAGAGGAAAGATAGAAAGAGAAAGAGAAAAAAGAGAAAGAGGGAAGAGAGAAAGAGAGGGAGAGGAAAGAGAATGAGAGAGAGAGGAAAGAGAGAAAGAGAGAAAGAGAAAGAGGGAAGAGAGAAAGAGAGGGAGAGGAAAGAGAAAGAGTGAGAAAGAGAGAGGGAGAGGAAAGAAAGAGAGAGGAAAGATAGAAAGAGAGAAAGAGAGTGAAGAGAGAAAGAGAGGGAGAGGAAAGAGAGGAAGAGAGGAAAGCATAATCACTATGCTTTAATTATGTTCAATTTGTAACAATGAAAATACATCCTGCATATCAGATATTTACATTGCGATTCATAACGTAGCAAAATTACAGTTATGAAATAGCAATGAAAATAATTTTATGGTTGTGGGTCACCACAACATGATGGCCATGCCCACTTGGTGGCCACACCCACTTAGCCACGCCCCTGGCACCCGGCGATGTATAAGTGGTTGGGGGTCACCACAACATGGGGAACTGTATTATGGGGTCGCAGCATTAGAAAGGTTGAGAACCACTGCTCTATTTCTTTTTAATCAAACTCTTCAATCAAGCCCCTCCCTCTGGCGCGCACACACATGCGCATACAAGTTTTGCGGCTTCCAGTGTTCTCTTTTCTGTGGGAAACGTGTCCAAGTGGCTCTTTGAGTGTTTATGGTTGCCGACTCCTGGCATAGACCATTTGGGTATGCTAACATCACATACTCAGTAACTCTATTTGAAGATGATTCAGAGAAGTGGAGTTCAAGAGATAGACCATTTGATTGGTCTACTTTGAAAAAGTTCAGACCCAATATCACTTTAAAAGAGGCTACAGGCTCATTTTTTTTATACTCATAGTAAGTGAAAAGAAAGTAGAATTTAAAAGCAAAGTTAGCTTTTTTTGCTCTTTTATGGCAACATGTACATTCAGTGTAAAGTCATGTTATATTGTTGCCTAAAGTAGGGACCATACTTCTTTCTAATGCTTATAAGATTTTATAATAATAATTTGACAGCAGTTCTTCCTTTCATCTATCTCACTTGATAATTTTACAGACACTTCATCATTCTGTATGGTAGGAAAGTTCTGTACACTTGCTCAAATTCCATCAATTTAGATTAATATTCTTTCAACTAACCATAAGATTATTTCCAGGGGCAATTGAATATACCTATGTAGTTTTTTTTTCAACTGAATGGAATTTTGCTAGTAACTTCTTACATAGTTCTTTTTTTTTTTTTTACTTCCCAGTTTAGCCTACAGTGCTAACATATTTTGGTGATTTCCTGATCCTGCTAACTAACACATCCGCTTAGCTTCCTCCTCAATTTCTAACTCCACATAAGGTAGTTCATTACAGCCACCTGAGTTGATCGGCCTAATAAAATAAAATATAAATTTCATCTGCTACATCTGCTAACCTTAAGGCATTCATTAGTTCACATTAAAAATTAGATCAATGATGAGAGTCCTGACAAACTGGCAATTTTCATACTTAGTGCTGCCTTTTGGAAAGTTTATTCTGTTTTTTTTTCCCCTTTTCTTCTAGAAATGACTGTGAAAAAGATTCTGTCATAATAGCTACAGTGAACAGTTTAACATCTATATATGCCTCAATCACCATTTTTTCAATTCTTGGGTTCAAAGCAACAATAAACTACCGGGATTGTTTGGATAGGTAAGCTATTAAAATAAAAATCCATGTAACATTGAAATCTTATTTTAATTTTGCTTTGCATTATTTTGCGCATTATTTTGTTTTGCTCCATTATGATTTAACTACTTCGAAGAGTGCTACATAATGGAATTAAAATGAATACAAATCCTAGAGGAATTCATACAAATTATATAATAATACATTTAAGTATTTTTAATTCATGGTAACTTAAAACAGGGCTTTTCAACCAGTGGTACAGGTACCACCTGTGGTACATTGGCACCTGGCAGGTGGTACGTGACCATCCTAGAAGAGTGGTAGCAGGGGAGGGGAATGAGCTGAACTTGTGGCAGCACCGCACAAGCCTGAGCGAGAGATGGCTGGAGCTGGAGGGCTGTTAGGGCTCAGCGAAAGCGCCAGGATCAGTGCCACTTTCAAGCTGATCAGCACTTCTTCATGGCTGTCAGGGCTCAGTGGGAGTGCCAAGATCAGTGCCAGGCTCCAGCTGGAGCTTGGGGCTGATCCTGGTGTTTCTGCTGAGCCCCAAAGAAGCACCAATCAGCTGGAATGTTGCAGCATCTCCAGGGTCTGGTGATTTACATTCAGATGCTTGGCAACTGATTCATATTTATGACGGTCACAGTGTCCCAGGGTCATGTGAAGTGACCAAAACCTGCTGCAACCACCCAGCAGACGGGGGATAGAAACCAAACACCCCCCCACCCCACCCCTGCTGTCAATCCTCAACAGAAATGCTCACAACAATGAAAACCTCGGACAGGAGGAAGAGCACCGCCGGGCAGGCAGGCAGATGTCTTGCTCGGCTGTGGCTTGGAGGGCACTTTTTTCAATGCCATTGTAACTTTGAAACAGTCACTAAGCGAACTGTTGTAAGTCGAGGACTACCTGTACTTTATCACTTTTTTCCTTTTTTTGGTCATCAAATTTTTGACACCTTGCTGGTGGTACTCAGATGTTGCCATATCCTAAAAGTGGTACAATGGGTGAAAAGGTTGAAAAGTCTTGACTTAAAACATTCTCCAGAGGATGCTATTATCTTTCTGACTTTATGCCTGGTTAGACCCAAACTGACTTGGTTGCCGATGGGAGAAGGAATAGACTACAAACAGTACGTTCATCTAACTGGGACTACAGGGTTGTTTTCCTGCTGTGAAATAATGTCTTGAGGCTAATCCTTTTTATTTCTTCCTTGTTTGGTCAACCGAATAACAACAAGCTATGGCATACAAAGTGCATAAAATGCAACAAAGAGAGGCTTTTGTATTTCAGATTTATCAATTCCAGTTAATAACAGCTTTGGTTTGGGCATATCAAAGTTTCTGAGCCATTTTTCAAAGTAGCTTCACACATGCTGTTAATTGTTGAAATCCAACAGAGATATGTTGGCTAATTGAAGACAAGTTATCTCTGCTCACACAAGACTTCAGCTGGTATATCAGCTAAGCTGATACTGAAGGTTATCCTGGGACTTAAAAAGGTGTCTTACCAGTTTACCTTCTGGTTAATGTGGCTGATAAAACTCACCTTCCTCCTGTAAATAATTTCCCATCATTTTGTGATGACTCTCTCAACATGTTTGAAAATCCTTTCTGCTTACTGATCTAGATTATGCTGATTAGAATTTCTAATCCAATATATCAGACTTTCATGGAATAAATAAGTTGGACATTGTTTAGTTAGGCAAATGTCCTTTACCTTGTTGGGACTATTTATTAATCCTAATTCAATTTGCTGGACAATAAAGATTTTGTTTCCCGTTGGTTTTTTGGCTGCTAATCATGAAACTAACCTGTAATATAACCTATCGTGTACTATTTTAAAGAAATCTTCTGTTTTCACATGATGACAATGTATACTCCTCAGTACCTGTTGCCAATGTGCACACATGAAAGAAACATACAAAAAAAATGGAACTGTTGTTTGAAGCACATCCAGTACAACTGAAATATCTGTAGATATCTAAAAGTAGTGGTTCTGCTGCTTGGAATGCAGCTCAGATAGACCACGTACTTGGTTGTTGCATATGCAGATGGGACAGCCATGCTAGAGTCACATTACATTAAATAGAATGGCCACTTGAAAAGAAATGGTTCCAGGACAGCAAATGTGGCTCATGAACCACTTTTTGACCCAACAAGATATTTTTGCCTCTGCTTCGAATAAAACTTGGACTATGAAACATTTTGTGAAAGTGATGAACAAAGATTTTTATTATTTGAGATAGATGTTTCCAAGAATAACTGATACCAAGATTAAGGAAGACATTGTTGTTGGTCCACAGATCAGATATATCATCAGTGACAAGCAGTTCGAATATCTATTAGTGGGGGCCAGAGTGAATCACATGGAAAGCATTCAAGGATGTCACTGAGAATTTTCTTGACAACTACAGAGCACCAAATTGTAATCAGCTGTTTGACAAACTTCTTATAGTATAGAACAGTGTTTCCCAAACTTGACAATTTTAAGGCATGTGAACTTCAACTCCCAGAATTCCACAGCCAGCATTGCTGGCTGTGGAATTCTGGGAGTTGAAGTCCACATGCCTTAAAATTGTCAAGTTTGGGAAACACTGGTATAGAAGACCATCAAATGCAACATGTCACTGAAGATTCATTTTCTGTATTCACACCTGGACTTCTTTCCTGAAAATCTAAATGCAGTCCCTGCTGAACATTTCACCAGGACATTGTCCCAGTGGAAAAACAATTATCAGGGCAACTAGAATCCATCAGTGCTGGCTGAATATTGTTGAATACTACAGTGAGATGCATTGGAGACTGAATACAAGAGAAAATCAGCAGCAAAACACTTTTAGCCCCATTGAACTCATGCAGCATATTGGAAACATGTGATTAAATACATTAGTCATTAATTTTGTACCTTTTTGAGATTCCTACATGATACTAACATTCTGAAATCATACATGTGTTCAATTTGAAAGGGGCCATCATAATCATCAAAGGTTTTTTCAGGTAGCAAAATTTTGGGGGAAAAAAATTGTTGTCCAGGGACCAACTGAGGACATCCCTTGCCTCATTGGGACTAGAAGAAAGGAAATGGTAGAATGTCATCTATATTGGAATAATCTGTGGTGCATATCCCCACCTCAGCTTTTTCAGTGTTTTCATGTCAATGTCATATAATATAGGCGGTAAAGTTGAGCCCATAAGGATGCTGTGATGCATTAGTTTTCAGCATTCTCTTCTGGAAATATTTAGCTAAATGGAACTATTATAAAATTAAATTTATTTCCTTCTTTCTTTCCTTCCTCCCCCCCACCCCTCCCTCTAATTTCTAGTCATCTGATCATTCTGAAATTATTACAGTGTGTGAAACCTTTTAAATCTTTGTGTGCCTGAAACTGGAAACAATTATTGTACTTCCCAGGATTTAGTAAATATACAAAACTGTTGGCTTTTGGGGGGGGGGAGTGCGGTTGCTGGGTAGAATTCATATCAAATTACTTACTCATATTGATTGTTTAACAAGATTTTTTCACATTTTTTTCTATTTATCTTCTATTATTTTATTCTCTTTTTATTTATTCTGTCTTTTATTTCTGTTTCCTAATTAAATAAAGTTTTGCATGTGTTTCTTTTATGCTTCTTCTGCTATTTTTACCCTTAGATTTTTTTAAAAAATCCTATAATACGTGGGTTATGTATTGTTTTCCACTCATCATTTTATTAACCGTAGGCATTTAGGCTGATGGTAAGGAATCACTAGAGGCGTAATTCAATATTTGGAGCATCTCATTGCCCATGTATGCTATGTGGATGGTGCTATTTGGCTATATGTAAGCATGAATACTCAAAGTGCAATTAGGAGCAAAAGTTGATTTGTTAACCACCATAGCAATGCAAATAATTCATACCTTTCTGGATTTTCATAACAGTAATATTGAATCACTCACAACTGCATTTAATTTGATGGAACAAAGCATTTCAAGAGAGAACTATACACTTTGGCTTGAGTCTCTGAGTCAAGGTGCTCCATCAAGAGTTTCTGGTCTCAAGCTGAAAAACTGTGATCTTCAATATTTTCTTCGTAAGGTACGGTAAGCCTATTACTGAGAGGTCCTGTTTTCCTGTGAAAGAATACTATGGATTCCGTGTACAGGTAGTCCTTGACTTACAACAGTTCATTTAGTGACCACTCAAAGTTACAAGGGCACTGAAAAAAGTGACATATGGCAGTTTTTCATATTTATAACCGTTGCAAGCATCCCCATGATCGTGCTTGGCAACCAGCTCATAATTATGTTGGTTGCAGGGTCCCGGGATCATGGGATCACCTTTTGCAACCTTCTGACAAGCAAAGTAATAATAATAGTAGTAGTAGTAGTAGTAGTAGTAGTAGTAGTAGTAGTAGTAGTAGTAAAGTTGGAAGGGACCTTGGAGGTCATCAAGTCTAACCCCCTGCTCAGGCAGGTAACCCTATACCATTTCGGACAAATGGCTGTCCACTCTCTTCTTAAAAACTTTCAATGTTGGCACATTCACTGCTTCTGGAGGCAGATTGCTCCACTGGTTAATTGTTCTAACTGTCAGGAAGTTTCTCCTTAGTTCTAGGTTGCTTCTCTCCTTGATTAGTCAACCAGGAAGCCAGATTCTCTTAACAACCATATTACTAACTTAACAACTGTAGTGATTCACTTAACAATTGTGGCAAGAAAAGTCATAAAATGGGGCAAAACTCACTTAACAAATGCCTCACTTTGCAACAGAAATTTTGGGCTTGGTTGTGGTCGTAAGTACAGGGCTACCTGTTTGGGACCATATTTTTGTCTTTTACCTAAGCAGCTTTGTCTGCACTGAGAGCATAGCAAGAAGCATGCACCAGTTGTGAAATTCAGAGAGTCACTTTAGCAATGGAAAAGACTTGGTCAGACCAAGTATTACTACCAAATTAACCAATTTCCCTCTTGGTGGTGTTTTCCATTCAAGACCTTTATATAAGACTGATGTTGTATGCATTCATTGGATTTAAATTTTTATCCATTCTTCCTATGCCATAAATATCTTAAATTCTTGTTCATTCACTGCTTACCTAATAGCTTTTCTATTTAAGCACAACCTGTGAAGCATGTGTAATGTGAAAACTGGTACTGAAATGTTTTCAGACTAGCTTTTTTTTACACAGCTTTCTTTTTCAGATTAGTATTTTTTAAATGATGCAGATAATTTTAAAGTCTGTGTTTTTAAAGAGAACTGTAAATAATTTGTTCCTATGAGGAAAGTGGCTATAGGACATGATGAGAAATTGATTTAAAAAAAAAATCAAGTGCCAGGTTTGCATTTTTTTTCCTTCATCATTTTTTTTATAATATCATTTGAGGAAACTAATTGTTAGGACATTAAGGACAGTTAAAAGGCAGCATTCTTTTTATCCAGTTAAAATGATCTGTATAAAAAAGGCAAATCTGTTCCAATGATACTCTGTTATGCAACCTGCTTTTTATGGTGATGGTTCTATTGCCATCTTTGTTAGACATACTGGAAGTGAAGGCTAGAGCATAGCAACTATGTGAAATGTATTTCTGACAAAGGTCTTTTATTTACCTAGTTCCTGGGAAAAAAAATAAGTAAACACACCACCACCCTGATATCTCTAATAACCTCACTTTATAAAAACACTGTTTTAAATTACTGTATTTTCCGGCATATAAGACAACTTTCTAAACCCTGAAAAACTTCTCAAAAGTCAGGGGTCATCTTATACGCCAGGTAGCTGTTCTCTAAATTTAAAACCAATCTGCCCCCTAGTGGCCAGCCCTATTTTTTTTTTTTACAGAAATAAGCACTAACACAATGTTTCTCAACCTTGACAATTTTAAGGCATGTGGACTTCAACTCCCAGAATTCCACAGCCAGCAGGACAAAGCATTCAAAAATCCCATTTAAATTTTTAAATTTTTCTTTACAAATGTAAACCCAGCAAACACATTGTTTACCAACTATTAAGTGATTTATGTTTTAAAAAATCAATAAAATATATGGGGAAAAAATACCAGCTGAGTTCAGGAAGCATTAGGGAAGTAGTGGTGGGCAACACTCGCTTTCTAGCAGCAAAGGAATGGAGCTCCTATTGTGCTCATCTATAAACAGAAATTCAATATTGACCGTATTTTCCGGCGTATAAGACGACTTTCTAAACCCTGAAAATCTTCTCAAAAGTTGGGGGTCGTCTTATAAGCCCAGTCGTCTTATACACCAGAATATACGGTAGTCTCATTTTGTAGGTTTTACCTGCTGGGAACCTATCCTTGTCCATGCCTAGATTTTCATTTTATCGATGGAGAAGCTAAATTTTAGTCCACATTGATTAACCAGTCAAGACTTGCCTTTGCATTATAATATAACATTTCCAGATGTGTGTGGCTGATCAGATTAATTGCCTATTCCATTTTGAAATTTTGCAGAGTGTTTCTGGGCCTGGCCTGGCCTTTATTACATTTACTGAAGTTGTAACGAGGATGCCTGGAGCCCAAATATGGTCAATTCTGTTTTTCCTCATGCTGTCCTGCCTGGGACTGTCTTCTATGTTTGGACTCATTCAGGGCATCTTGACTCCTTTCACAGAAATTCCTCTTGTGACAAAATACTTACGCAAAGAAGTTTCTTGTGGTAAGATTGCTTTCGAAAAGAGTTTCAATTTCATCTTTTTTTCTTTTCCTTTTTATTTTTTTAAATAAAGTTGCTGACATTGCTATTGAATGTTTACCTGATTACCTAACTATAGTGCTTCAGGGTAGTCCAAGTAAAATAGGGAAGGCTCTTTGAATCTGCTTCTCCAGGTACTCCATTTGATTGAGAGATTCAAGCAAAGCCATTCCCAAGTAACTTCACTTTCAACTGCCCCATAAGAGTCTTCTTCACCTCTTCATTAGGGGTGTGTGTGTGCGTGTGGACATGGGGAAAGAGCAGGAGCATCTATGAGGGGATCGGTGATATTAAAATGGCAGCCGAAAGTACATGGTTCAAGCTCCATTCCTTTGTATATACAGTATACTATAAACCATATACATGTCTTTGAGTTAGTTTTGATTCCTGGCAATTGCCTGGACTAGTCTCTGCTGTTTTCTTGGCAACATTTCACAAGTGGTTTGCCATTGCCTTTTTCCTAGATCTGAGAGGATGTGACTGGCCAAAGGTTATCCAGCTGGCTTTGTGCCTAAGGCTGGAGTAAAACTTTTAAAATCCTGACTTCTTGTCTGATACCTAAATTACATCATATTGGTTCCCCTATGTCTGTGACTGCCTATATATGTGTGTGTAGACACATACAGTGCATTCAGAAAGTATTCAGACCCCCTTCACTTTTGTCAATGTAGTTATGCTGCAGCCTGATTCTACAGTTGTTGAAATTCATTTTTTGCTCATTAATCTACACTCGGTACCCTATAATGACAAAGTGAAAACAGAATTTTAGAAATGTCTGTAAATTTATTAAAAATAAAAAACTGAAATATCACACTGGCACAAATATTCAGAACTTTTGTAACAACACTTGAAATTTAGTTTAGGTGCCTCCCATTTCTCTTGATAGTTGCTGACATGTTCCTACACTTGGATTGGAGTCCACCTGTGGTAAATTAAATTGATTGGACATGATTGGGAAAGGCACACCTCACAACTGACAATGCATACTGTAGCAGAGGAAAAGGTCAAAGAAACTGCCTGCAGAATTCAGAGAAAGGATTATTCCAAGGCACAGAACTGGGAAAGCTACAAGAAAATTTCTGCTGCATTGAAGGTTTCTAAGAGCACAGTGGCCTCCATGATTCTCAAATGGAAGAAGTTTGGCACAACCAGGACTCTTCCAAGAGCTGATCGCCTGGTCAAACTGAACAATCGGGGGAAAAGGGCCTTAGTAAGAGAGGTGATAAAGAAGTTGATGGTCATTCTGACTGAGCTCCAGAGATCCTGTGTCAAGATGGGACAGAGTTTCAGAACTCTGCAGCCCTCCACTGATCTGGGCTTTGTGGCAGACTGGCTAGACTGAAGCTTCTCCTAGTGTAAAACATATGAAAGCCCACTTGGAATTAAAAAAAAAAAAAACATCTGAAGGACTCTCTGATCGTGAGGCACAAGATTCCCTGGTCTGGTGAAACCAAGATTGAATTGTTTGGCCTCAATTCTAAATGTTTTGTCTGGAGGAAACCAGGCACCGTTCATCACCTGCCCAATATCATCCCAACAGTGAAGCATGGTGGTGGCAGTATCATGCTGTGGGGGTGTTTTTCAGCAGCAGAGACTGGGAGATGGTCCAGATTGAGGGAAAGCTGAATGGAGCAATGTACAGGGATATCCTCAGTGAAAATCTGTTCCACAGCACTCAGGATCTCAGACTGGGGCGAAGATTCACTTTCCAATACTCTGCTAAGCACACAGCCAAGACAACACAGGAGTGGCTTAGGGACAACTCTGAGTGTCCTAGAGTGGCCCAGCCAAAGCCCTAACTGGAACCCTATTGGACATCTCTGGAGGGACCTAAAAATGGCTGTCCACCAACTGTTGCCATCCAACCTGACTGAACCTGAAAGGATTTTCAAGGAAGAATCGCAGAAAATCCTCTAGTCCAGGTGTGCAAAGACTCAAGGCTCTAATTGTTGTCAAAAGTGCTTCAACAAAGTACTGAATGAAGGGTCTGAATACTTATGCCAATGCAATATTTCAGTTTTTTCTTTTTAATAAATTTACAGACATTTCTAAAATTCTCTTTTCACTTTGTGATTATGGGATAGTGAGTGTAGATTAAGGAGGAAAAAAAATGAATTTCAGCAACTGTAGAATCAGACTGCAACATAACAAAATCGACAAAAGGGGGTCTGAATACTTTCCTGAATTCACTGTATATACACAACACACAGACATTCCCCCATATGTATTTAGGCAGAAGCTTTTTGCAAGCTAATACAGGTGGTCCTTGACTTGCAACAGTTCATTTAGTGACTGTTCGAAGTTACATTATTGAAAAAAGTGACTTATGACCATTTTTCACACTTACCAAGTGTTGCAACATCCCCATAGACAGGTAATCAAAATTCACTGGTGAATTTTGGCACTGGTTGCACTGGTTCTTATTTATGATGGTTGCCGTGTGCCAAGGGTCATGTGGTCACCTTTTGCGACCTTCTGACAAGCAAAGTCAATTGGGAAGCCGGACTCACTTCACAGCAGTCTTACTAACTTAACTGTGGTGATTCACTTAACAACTATGCCAAGAAAGGTTGTAAAATGGGGGCAAAAGTCACTTAACCCAATGTCTCACTTAGCAACATCATCTTTGGGCTCAATTGTGGATGTAAGTTGAGGATTACCTGTATGCATTAAATATTATCTTCAGTCTGAAGCACCCAATTGTCTCAGTTGGGGTATCTCAGCACATTGATGACAACTGAAAAAGCTGCCTCTATCTTACAGGATAGGGGGATGTGGGTAACCATGTACTTACCCAGCCAACTGATTATGTTTTGTCTTGTTTAGTGAACTGGAAGGCAGACTGTTTTTCGTCTAGGCCAGGGGTCTCCAACCCCGGGTCCGTGGACCGGTATTAGGCTGCTGCATGCCAGCAACCGGTCCGCACAAAACAAGCAAAGCCATCCGCGGGATGCAGGCAGCACACAAAACCATGCACCCCCCGGTTCTCGGAAAAACCTCCCTCCACAGAACCTGTCCCTGGTGCTCAAAAGGTTGGGGACCTCTGCTCTAGGCTATAGTAATTGGCTATACAGAATCACAGTTTTTCCCTTTTTTTAGATATTATGCAACTGCCTTCAGGGATAAAGGGGGCAAGAACAGCCAGACTAGTTTCTAAGGCAAATAAGAGTGGTATCAGAAACTGCCTGCCTTGCTTGCACTCACTTTTATAAAGATAATTGCACAATGTACAGCAAGATAAATATAATTTGTATACATTGTGAGCTTGATGTCTGCCTTTATTACTGAGCAAAGTACATCACTAAGTGAAATCAGTAGCAGAAACTCTCATCTATGTTTAACCAACTTTGCCCCTGTCCGTAAATGTTCAGGAGAAATCTGGGGAGCGGGGAGATTGTCAGGATCTGGGGAAATAAGAAGCAAGTTTGACAGATCAGATATTATCTATGTGAAGAGCTTGGAAATATTTAATTGACTAAATTATAATTGATCTCTTTTTGCATTTTCATTCACACACTACTTTTTTTTCATTAGGTATAATATGCTTTGCCTCTTTTTTGTTGGGTCTCCTTTTTACTACACGATCGGGAAGCTACTGGCTTGAAGTGTTTGATAGCTATGGAGGAAGCTTAACGTTGTTGATCATTTCTTTACTTGAACTGTGCAGTGTTGTATACGTTTATGGTCTGAAAAGGTAACGAGATTCTTGTATGTCCATTTCTTAGTACGCTCTTCAACTGAGACAGTATGGAATGTAAGAGTGGAAAGACCTCAGCCACAGAACTTCACTGGGTCATTCTCTCTCAGCCCAACCAACTTTACAGGAATTTTAGGGAAAGTAGGAGCAAGAAGAGCTATGCATTTTGAGTCCCCAAATGAAAGGCAGGATAAATACCTAGCAAATAAATACGTAACAAAAGCTTTCTCCTAAGATTATACTTGCTTTACTTGAATACACTTTTATTGTATTCAGAGATCTGTATACATGATCTTCGTGAAGTTCAGATCCAGGCATATGGTAAATCATCATTAGCATCATGTCCTAGGAAAGGAAAGGCTTAAGCTAGGAATAGATGGCTCTTTTAAGGTTAGTTAGAGAAGGCTCTCTGGAAGCATTTGAGGTAAAGGTGTTGCCTTGCAACCACCTCCTAATACAATGAAATGATCATCACTTTAACAAAGCAAAACACTTTCACACCTATGATGAGCAAGACCCCAGCTTTTCATTCGAGCAATTCTGTTTGTACAGGTAGTTCAATGGATTCCTAGGGGGGAAAAAAAATCAGTCATTTTTTTTCACACCAGTTGGGATTTTCACAGTCTAGTTCACTGATTTGCAGTGATTAATCAATTCAAATTCCTCCATAAACTCTTAATATTTTTAACCACTCCGTTTGCATAAAAAAACCTCAGCTTACCTACATGAAATCACCAAAGGAGATTTTTGCACTAGCATTGTGGAATTTTCTCACTAAAAACATCCTTAGACTTTATTTTGCCAATGTCTGAGTGGACATTACTAGTGCAGAAATGCTGTAATTTAAAACGCTTCTGATATATTCTCACATCCCTTACAAAAGTAATACCTGGTTATGCATATACACTATAATTTTGAAACTTCTAAACCCAAGTTTTTGCACCCCCTGGAATATTGTCTCACACCACTGGTCTACTGTCTTCTGTAAAATAATGCTCTAAGCAATATTTTCCTTATTAGTATTATATACAACACGATTCCTAACAGAAGACAAGTTTCTCCAGTAGTAGTTAAATAACTTTAGTTTTGAAGATTTGTATCTAATGTGCAATACAACTGAATTTAAATTCATACAGGTCATTCACCTTAAGTTAGGGCTATTAAGCTTTTAGAATATATACACACATACAGTATTCTTACATATCTATATCTACTGGTACTTGTAGGAAAATGTGGTGCACATTGTGAGCATTGCTAGGATTCATGAGAAGTGGTTTTTTCCCTCTATCAGCAACTGATTAAAAAAGCAAGTCTGCCAATAAGATTTGGTTAGTCAGCCTTTACTGCAGTTTGGTATAAAATGATTTCCATCAAGATATCTTGTAACTAAAACACCCTGGAGAGGTATATCAAAGACTAACTTTGTGATGATATTGTAATAAGGGCCTAAAAAAGACTACACTCCTGTTAGTACAAAATAAACAGTTAATGCATTACATAAAATTGCTATATTGCAAATTAAGCTATTCCATTGTGAACTAAATTGCTAGTGACTATAAACCAATTTGACCACAGGTTCTGTGATAATGTGGAATGGATGACTGGAAGACCAGTAAATTTATACTGGAAGGCATCCTGGCAGTTTATCAGCCCTGTACTAATGGTTTCAGTCTTTTTGAGCTATCTGTCTATTCAACGGCCATCAACCTACAGTGCATGGAATCCAAGCTATGTATGTTAAACTTGTTACTTAATTTCTAGCTTTTATTTTTATGCAACAAAAATAAGGATTCAGTCAACACCATAGTATTGCATAAGCAGTTCCCCATAAAAAGATAGTGCTTAAAAATCAAATTTATCAGCCAACTCAGATTTAGAAAACGTTAGCTATAAATGAGACTATCCCAGTGGTGGCAAACCTATGGCACGGGTGCCAGAGGCGGCACTCGGAGCCCTCTCTGTGGACAGTCTCCCCAGCCCGCCTCCTCCCACAGCCCCCATGGAGGAGAGTCATCCCTGGGCGCGGCCCACACGAAGCAGCGCAGCCAAGGACATGGTAGCCGGGCAGTGGGGGACAAAATGCCACCCTTACGCCATCGCGCGCAAATGCTGCAGGGCATGGGTGGAGGGCGTGGCCACCATGGTGGTGCTGGGCTGCCTGGGTGATCTGTGGTGGGCCATGGAGGTGGAGGATGGCCCAGTGGGCAGGGTGGAGCAGGGACGGGGTGGGGCAGTTTTGGGCACTTGGTCTCTAAAAGGTTTGCCATCACTGGACTATCCAGTTACAAGATATGTATATCAAATTGGCAATACATTTCTTCTTTGCTGTGTTGCTTTCATTGTAATAGTTTACCATCTAGATTTTTTAGTTATGGTTGTTCTTTGTCAGCTGCTCCGAGATTATTAGTCTGGAAGCAGATAAAGAAATAATGTGCAACAAAAATATATGTCATATATTTGCCCTCCATTGGCTGGGTGCTGTGCTTATTTTTATGGGATACCAGTTAAGAATGCCTTCTGTATATAGGCTGGGGTAGCAAGTATGTACGCATTTATCACAATAAAATAAGAGTAGCTTATCATCTACATTTGAAGAGCAACTTGCCTCTCAAGTATGTACGCATTTATCACAATAAAATAAGAGTAGCTTATCATCTACATTTGAAGAGCAACTTGCCTCTAACTATTCATTATTCCATGTCTTTGTAAAAACAAGAGATGAAGAATAATATGAGATCTCCTTGCAAGAAAAGCAAGGCACATCCTTTTGAAGGATTGTCAGCCTCTGTGTAGACCCCTTTGTACTACTATCATTCAGTTTTAATTTTATGCAATGTATGTTTAACTTATAGGAAGAGTTTCCTGCAAAACAGTCCAAATTTTATCCACGCTGGGTTTTACTCATCGCTGCCTTGGTTGTGGTCCTACCGTGCATATGTTTTCCAATGGGAGCCATTTGCCATTTTAAGCAAGTATTGCTGAAAAGGAAGGAGAAGCAAGCCCTTCATCCATGTGAAAGCACCCAAGGCAACTGATGCTCTAGGATTCTATCAGCTGATTCCAGTGATCCATAGTAAACCAGTTCAGGTTCTCAACACAGAAAAAGTATATTAAGGCAATCTATGAAAATTAAAGAATATATATTGTTTATATAAACTTCTATAGAGTTCTTAGTGAAAGTAGCCAAAGTATTCATACAAATAGCCTTTATACAGTATTATATTCTGCAATGCTACAAGTTTTCAAGAATTTGGTTTAAACATTTCTGCATGTTTTTAACTGAAAAGGCTACCAGAACTCTGGATTTACAAGAAAAGGTGTAATAAAAACTACAGAGAAGTGGAAAAATAAAACACAAGTCAAGTAAATATGGTCATTTTAAGAACTGACTGTAAATACACAGTCAGTTCTTAAAATGACCCCGTGGGTAGAAACTGATCAGTGGCTGATGAGACAATTTTTGTGAACCACTTTCAGGGCAGGACCAATGATCTAGTGTGGTTTCATTTCCCCTTTGTGCTGCACTTTGGGGGAATGGAAATGCCCATCTCACAAGCTTCCCTTCTTGCTAAAGTAGGGTTGGACAGGAAACACGGAGAGTTTTGTCCCAAACGGCAAACGAAAACACCCCCATTCAAATGTTTTGAATCTTCTACTGAAGCAAAACTCAAAACCTTCTGAGGGTTCTACCAAGTGAAATAATGGAAATTCAAATCAAGCTCCTTGCTATCTTGTTTTTATTGCAGGGCCATAAAAATGGATGTCATGATACTCCTTGTCAACCATCTAACCTACAGGGCAAAAATTAAGAGTCCGAACTATCTTCCCTATATCCAGGGAACATATCTATTATTTGCAGAGAGAAGAACAGACCAGCATGGGTTGAAACAGAATTTTATATGGCAATCTAGCCAGAACTACAGTACATCAATTACTTTGAGATGGATTATTTAGTCCTAGAGATTACTTATTATGAAGAATAGGACAGTAAGCACCCATAGAGTTCTACATCTTCTTTAGCAATTAGCCTGGCAGTGGAGCTCCTTATTATGTCAGCACTGTAGGAAAAAAGATGATTTTTCTGATGTAGTCTTAATGTCAGCAATAAAACTACAGCTGTATCTCGAATCTGTATGCTTGAGTGCATACTCCAGCAGGGTTATTCATCAGAATTTAAGGGAAGCAACTTGGTTTCAATACTGCTCATTATACCATGTAACATTTAGTATTATTCTGATGAGGTTTTAGAGGAGGGAATATAGTTTTTGACAATCGTACATTACAATTTGGGCATTACACCAGAAGAGATAGCTGGTTTACCACTCCTGGATTACACTATTTTTTTTCTTATTAAAAATGAAAACAAACAAACAAACAAAACCCAACCAGTTCTAATTAGATAAATTTTTAAAATTATTTTGTGAAAAACATACTTGTTGATGATATAAAACTATTGCCTAAATTGTCTTAATCTCTCAGTAATCCACAAAATTAAGCCTACATCCAGTTGGGCTATAATATCATGCAATGTTCTTGCTGTGAACTACTTATCAAGAACACTTGTTTGGGGCTTTCTTTCCAAAGGATGGGGCAAGTATTTTACAATTCACCGCCAATAATAACATTGTATGTTTCACTAGAAGCAAGGCAAAGCTTAAAAAAAAATTAACTTGTTGCATTTCCAAATCCTTGGTAGAAAAAAAATCTCACATGGGCAAAAAAATTAAGCAAGTGGAAGGCAAATGTGAAGAATGTTGCTTTATAGAGCTAATCCAGGATGGCTTTGAAATCTTCATATAATGATGGGTTTATCACTTCAGTAAGCAGTTGCATGGTAGTTTCTGGAATTTGCCGAGTCAACCGTAATTTACCTACAAAGAAAGAGTAACCAATTACTTCTTTAGACCAACAAGTGATTCTGAACAGATGTTTCCAGATCACCATGTACCTGGCTTTAGAAAAAAGCAGACAACAAAGCTCTGAAAAAGTTCTATCAGTCACCTTCCTTCTGTAGGACTAATTATTGATATCTTTGGAAATAATTAGCTTCAATGTTTAACAAAAAATAAAATAAAAAATAATGAATTAGATCACAAACATTGCCAACAGCAACGTGGCTCAACTCTGCTAAGTATAATCAACATCATTCATTCATTCACCCATGCATTCATTCTGTTGTGGTTATGATTAGCATTTGTCTCGCTTGGCTGCAGAGTCCATTTGTTTTGCATTGTTGTTTGCTTCGGTTCACATAATGAAACTATCAATGCATGATGTGATAAATTTTGGTTTTCAGCCAATATGTTCAAGAAGCTGATCTGGTGTGTGTGTGTGTGTGTGTGTGTGTGTGTGTGTGTAAGTAAATGAAGGAGTGCTAAATTTTGATTATACGTCACCAAACTGTTGTTAATTCTTAATGACCAATTAGATAAATTATCTCCATGATGATCTGTTCCTACCTAACTTGTTCTTTTCAGGTCTTCCAAAGCTCTACTTACTCACTGCTGTAATTGAGTCTATCTGTCTTCTTGCTGGTCAGCTTCTTCTTCTCTTTCTTTTTATCTTTCCCAGCATTATAACTTTTTCAGAGAGCTAGAGCTTTGCAGGATAATTTGAGTCTGGTTATTTGAATTAGAACTCCTTTTTTGATGATCCATTGCGTTGTTTTCTTGACTGTTCACAGCATTCTCAGGAGTCTTCTCTAATAACCACAGTTCAAAAATGTCAATACTCTGGGAGCTTCCGGTGGGAGGCGACGGCGATGGCGGCTAGCTCTTAGCCGTCCAGCTGGGGAAGTGTCAGAGCCGCGGAGCGCAGCGCGCATCAGCTGGCCCGCGGCTCGGAAATCCCTTCCCGGGCAAAGGGAAGGGATAGAGAACGCAAGAGTAGAGGTAGAACCCCTGAACCCCCTCTGGATTTATTTCTAGAGGGGGTGAAAGGAGTGTTCCCTCGGAGCTCTTGCTGATCTCCGCCTCCCAGCTGTTTTTGCTTCCTAGGAAGCAAAAGAAACCGCCGCTTCTATCTCCGTGTTTACAGCATTTTGGTGAGTAATTTTTAAACGGACGGAGCAGTTTAAAGGATTTTTTGTTATATTTTAGGTGTTTATTTTTTTTATCTTTTGATTTTTACTATTTTTCCTCCTTTTCTTTGTTATACTAGTGAAAGGACTTAAGATGGCGTTTTGAAAGTGTCGGAGTTTTTTTTTCCTTTCTCTTTTGTTTTACTTTCCCTTTTTAAGGACTGTTTTTTGCTTTTGCTTTTGCTTTTGGCTTAGAATTTTTTCTTTTGAATTGTTTGCTCTTTTACTACTTATTCTTGGGATTTATTCTGGACTTTTAATGATTATAGTTTGTCTCTTTTTAAAAATTCTTTTTTTCTTTTTTTCCTCCTCCCTTTTTGGCTGGAGGGGAAAGGGAAGTGACAATTGTGCTTTTTAAAATGGCTTCAAAGAGGCAGCAGCCTTCCTCAATACCCAAGGTTATTTCTTCTCCTATAACTTCCACTGCACAGCTACAACAACAATTTAAACATGCACCACCGGCTCAGCCACCACCCTCCCCTCCTCTACCTGGACTTTCAGTACAAGAGGTTAGAGGCATAATGGGAGAGATTGTAGTTCAAATGAGAGAGGAAATGACTCAATTTGTTTCACAGATTAAATCAGAAATTAAATCTGATCTCAAAGAAGAGATAACGGGGATAAAGTCTAAATTGCAAGAAAATAATAATGAATTACGACAAGATATACTGGCAGCTGTTTCAGGTTTGGCTACTGTGGTGGTTAAGCTTGATGCAAGGCTTGAGGAAGTGGAAGACAAAGTTGACTTTTTAGATGATAAAATTCAAGACGTGGAAAGGAAGGTGGACTCCTCACAAGAAGATATTTTGATGTTTCAGTATAGACAGATGGAGTATGCTCTGAGGATTAGAGGCCTCAAGGAAGATATGAATCAAGATTTGATGGAGGTGGTTCTTAGTGATCTGGCGCTGGCTTTGGATATGGATAAAGGAGAATTACAGAGAGAAGTGGAAAAAATTTATAGACTCAACTCCTGGATTGCTAAGCAGAAGAATTTGCCCAGAGATGTGGTGATTTACTTTACAAAGAAGTCCCTGCGGAATGAGATTATACAAGCTTTTTACAACAAAAGATTTCAGATTGCCGCCCAAGATGTCATCATTCTAAAGGAAATCCCATCTAAAATTTTAAGAAGTAGGAAAGACTTTGCTTTTTTAACCAATGAGCTTAAAGCTAGATCGATGCCATTCAGATGGGAAATTCCGATGGGTATCGTTTTGAGCCATGCTGGGACACGTTACAGATTGAACACAGTTGACAAAGCTAGAGATTTCTATACTTCGGTCCTGAGTGCAGGCTCAACTTCATCTGGTCGGAAATCTTTGAGTGGTAAGGAACCTGAGCAGCAATCTGAGGCACTAGATTTGGTTTCCGCAGGGATGATAGAAGTGGCAAAGCAACGCCAAACGCAGGCTAAAGAGCAGAGGATGACTCGTGCAGCCTATAAGCGTAAAGAGAAAGAGCAACGTAAAAAAGAGCCCAAAGAGAATTCTCCTGGAAGTGCATCACCGCCGGTGGGAGGAGCAAGACCCAAGAGTTATGCAACACACGCAGCTCTGTCAGAGTTTGATGGTGTCTTCTCCAGGCTGCGTGCCAAGGGAGATGGCAAAGTTTTTGACCTGGAATGTTAATGGATTGAATTCTCCTCAGAAACGGAAAAAAATCTTTTATTATTTGAAGCAACATACCAATGATGTTATTTGTTTACAGGAAACTCATATTCTACTTAAAGATCAGAAATATTTAGTTAATGCTCGTTTGGGATCTCATTTTATATCTCCTGCACCTGGGAAGAAAGGGGGAGTTGTTATATATGTCAAACAAAACCTGCCAGCTTGTCTGGTAGAATCAGATCCCCAGGGGAGATATGTGATGATTGAACTTGGTATTTATGGTAAGAAAGTACTTATAGTTGGACTTTATGCTCCAAATCAACAACAGGAACAATTTTATAAACAGTTACACCAAAAAATAACTTTGCTTGATTATAGATCAGTGGTATTAATGGGTGATTGGAATGGTGTCTTAGACACACAAAGGGACAAGAAAGGTTCCTCTCCTTTTCTTAAACAAGCAAGGCTACCTAAAGCCTTTTTTGATATGAAAGAAGACTGGGAATTAAGGGACTATTGGCGGGAACGTAATCAAGAGGAGAGAGACTTTACTTTTTTTTCTGACAGACACCAATCTTTTTCAAGAATTGACTTTTTCTTGATTACCACGGATTTGTATAATAAAGTAAAGAATGTAAAGATTTTTCCTAGATCACTGACGGATCATAGTCCAGTTTGGATGGAGTTGATTCAAGAGAAAGAGGAAAGAAGATCCTGGAGAGTTAATGAAAATTTGTTTAGACAAGAGAAGAATGTTCAAAAACTAAAGGAGTGTTTAAAGGACTATTTTGCTTTGAATATGTACAAGGGGACTTCAATGTCAATGGTATGGGATGCAGGTAAAGCATTTATGCGCGGTGTTTTGATAAAAATGAATAATTTTTATAAGCGAAATCAGATTCAGAAACGTAGAGAACTTGAAGATGAAATTAAACTAAAAGAAAGGGCTTTGATTCTAAATCCTTCTGATGAAAGTACTAAAGAATCTGTAAAGTTATTAAGGTCACAATTTAATATGTTGATAGCAGATCAAGCTGCAACCAATTTATTATTTATGAAACAAAATACATTTTGTAATGCTAATAAGCCGGGGAGATGGTTGGCTTATCAATTAAGAAAGAAACAGAGACAGAGAATAATAGAGAAAATAAATTATAAGGGTAAACTAGTTTCTCAGAAGGAATTAATTAAAAAATCTTTTTTGGATTATTATCAAAACCTATATAAATCTACTAATGTACAACTGTTAGATATAAATAAATATTTAGCTGAGGCAAGTTTTCCTAAACTGACTGAGGATCAGAAATATGAAATTAATGGTTTAATTACTAAGGAGGAAATTGCCTCAGCAATTCAACAATTGAAATTAGGGAAAGCACCGGGTACGGATGGGTTAACAGCTGTTTATTATAAAGCCTTAATGGAGGAGATGATCCAACCATTAAATGATCTTTTTAATGGTATCTTACAGGGTTTAGAGATTCCTCCTTCATGGCGTAGTGCTTTTATATCATTGATTCCAAAGGAGGATCAAGATCTTACTTTACCAAAAAACTATAGGCCTATATCTCTTTTAAACGTGGATTATAAGATATTTGTAAAAATTTTGGTAAATAGGCTTATGAGGGTGGTGCATCATCTTGTGCATAAAGATCAATCAGGGTTTATAACAGGAAGGTATATGAAAAACAATGTTAGACAAATTATTAATTTATTAGAATACTTAGATAAGAACAACCAAGTTCCTGCAGGGCTCATATTTTTAGATGCTGAAAAAGCATTTGACCAACTGAATTGGCATTTTATGCTAAGAGTAATGGAAGAAATGAATTTTGGTGAAAACATATTACAAGCCCTTAAGGTAATATATCAAAAACAAACAGCACAACTTATTGTTAATGGAGGTTTGTCGGAGGTTTTCACAATAGAGAAAGGTACTAGACAGGGGTGTCCTTTATCGCCATTGTTGTTTGTTTTAACATTGGAAATATTATTGATCAAAATTCGAGAGTCTCAGGAAATTAAAGGAATATATGTTAATAAAAAAGAATATAAGTTGAGAGCTTTTGCGGATGACTTGGTTGTTACTTTGTCGCAACCTGATTATTCTGTAGTAAACTTATTACAGTTGATTCACCATTATGGTTTGGTCTCGGGTTTTAAGATTAATGTAAATAAGACTAAAATTTTACCTAAAAATATGTCGAGTCAGGAGAAGCAGATTTTGGTTAACTCGACGGGTTTTGAGATTGTTAATAAGGTAAAATATTTGGGGGTGATGCTGTCTGTTTCTAATGCAAAATTATTTAAAAATAATTATGAAAGGTTGTGGGTCGGGGTACAGAAAGACTTGAAGAACTGGGAAAAGCTGCAATTATCCCTCATGGGAAGAATTGCAGTGATAAAAATGAATATTTTACCCAAGTTTCTTTTTCTGTTTCAAATGTTACCAATTTTGAAAAATGAGATTAATTTAAATGAGTGGCAGAAGGGTCTCAATAAATTTATTTGGGCAGGGAAAAAACCAAGGGTTAAGTTCAAAATTATGCAAGACTTCCGTGAGAGGGGTGGACTCAAGGTACCAAATTTGAAATTATATTATGATGCGGTGGTTTTAACATTAATTAGTGACTGGGTAAATTTGACAAACTCTGAGATACTTTATCTAGAGGGATGGGATTTACTTTATGGGTGGCATGCCTATTTAATATTTAATAAAAAAATAGATTGGGCTTTTAAATCTCATATTTTAAGAATTTCTTTACTTAGGATCTGGAGAAAATATTATAAAAGTGATTTTAAAGTACCATTATGGGCTATACCTTGGCATGCGATAGAAGGAATAAAAAGAGGGGTTAAAATGGATATGGTGTCTTATAGACAGTTACTTAAATGGGATGGACAAAACTGGCAATTAAAATCACGGGAAGAATTAGCACAAGAAAATTTTACTTATTCTTGGTTCCAATATAGGCAACTACTAGATAGATGGAAGATGGATTGTAAGGTGGGTTTTATTAGAGAAGATGAAAATCTTATTAAGCAACTGAAGGATCAAAGACAAACCCACATTAAGAGAATTTATGGGGTTTTAGTTGAATTGGACTCAGAAACGGAACTAATTAAAGATTGTATGATTAGATGGGCGCAGAACTTTGGTGAGCCAGTTTCATTGGACACCTGGGAAACTATTTGGGTGAGAAATGTCAAATTTACTCAAGCACAGAATTTAAGGGAGAATTTTTATAAAATGTTTTATAGATGGCACCTTGATCCACAAAAAATGTCTTACATGTACCCTGACGTGCAACCTAAATGCTGGAGATGTGGTTATAAGGAGGCTTCCTATTATCATATTTGGTGGTCATGCAGAGAGATAAAAGCATTTTGGATCAAAATATGGTGGAATATCCAGAGAATTTTTAGAAGGAGGGTAAAATTTACTCCGCAATTATTTTTGTTAGGTATTGTTACAGATTGTGATACAAAGGAGGTTGTATTGATGTTAAATTTGATCACAGCCGCGAGGCTGTTAGTTGGACAATATTGGAAGAAGGAATCTTTGCCTACATTGCAGGAATGGTTTTTTAAAGTAGCTTATCTGGCGGAAATGGCAAAGATTTCGGCTTTCTTAAAGCAACAAACGCAAGAGAAGTTTTTTGCTATCTGGGACAAATGGATAAAATTTATACAATTTAGATTGGGTATACAAAAATATCATATAGCTTTTTCATAAGTTTTATTTTTATATATATTATAGATATCTTTTTTGTATATATAAATATAAAGTTTTTAATTTAATTTTTATTTTTTTTTTTATTGCTTAAGCCTATATTCTGCTCTGGGAAGCTCAGGGGGGGGGAAGGGAGGGTTTTTGGGAGGGGTGTGGGGTGTGGGGTTTTTTTTATATGTATTGTTTAATTTTTTTTTCTTCTGTATATGTTGTTTTTTGTTTTGTATTGTTCTTGTTTTTCTTGTAAAATTTATAAAACTTTTAATAAAAAAAAAAAAAAATGTCAATACTCTTCCTATCTTGCACTTTTTCAAAGTCCATTTTTATTTTCCATAGAGTATCACAGGGAATATCATGGCTTACACAGTTCTGATCCTTGTAGGTTTACACAGTCCTTGACTGATGACCACGAAATTTTGGTCGTAAATTGTTGCAGTTTTACAATGGTCGTTAAGCAAGTCACTGGTCGTTAAGCGAATCACTTGGTTGCTAAATGAACCACTAAGTGAATAACCATTAAGTAACAATTCATTAAATTAGTTATTAACTGTATAACTCAATGGCTTGCCTCCAGTAGTTGTGGGTGCTCCATCATTGGAGGTCTTTAAGAAGAATTTAGGCAGACATTTGACCAGAATAGTATAGGGTCTCCTCCTCGAGTAGATGGTTAGAAGACATCCAAAGACCTTTCCAACATTGTTATTCTGTATTTTGTATTTGGCCCTAAGTCTAATGGGCCTTTTTTGCCTGAAGATGACAAAAGAGTCACAAAACGCAATCAAATGACTGTGGATTTTATAACCGCTCATAAATGTAAGCCAATTGCCAAGTGCCCAAAATGAAACCATTGGATGGCAGGGGTGGCATCACAGTTGTAATTTTTGAGGATGAATGTTAAGTAACAGACTATCCCAGTTGTAATTTTTGAGGATGAATGTAAGTAACAGACTATCCCAGTGATGGCGAACCTTTTAGAGACTGAGTGCCCAAAAACTGGCCCCGGCCCCGCTCCACCCCCCATCTCCCACCCCACCTGCCCGCAGGGCCACTCACTGCTTCCAGGGCCCACCGCACATTGCCCAGGCAGCCCATCAGTGCTATGGCGGTCACGCCCTCTGCCTGTGCTCTGCAGCATCAATTGTGCATGATGGGGTGTGAGGGTAGAATCTTGTCTACGCTGCCTGGCTGCCATATCCTTGGCTGCGCTGCTCTGTGTGGGCCACGCTCGAGGGTGACTCTCCTTCAGGGGGGCTGCTGGAGAGGAGGGGTCGTGGGGCAAGGCGAGGCTGGGGCAACGGCACGTGTGCTCACAGAGAGGGCTCCGAGTGCCACCTCTGGCACCCGTGCCATAGGTTCGCCACCACTGGACTATCCGAATAGACACATCAAACCATTATGAAGATCTTTTCCAAGATCTTCATGGCTGCTTTATCCAGTGTTAGTTTATGGCATATTTTTTGACTGCTTGTTCCCTAATATTGATCCTAAAAAGCAGAAGTGATCCACCATTTTGATATCTTTATTGCCAATTCTAAGGCTGGTTGTCAAGAGTTTGGTCTATAATCTATAATTTTAGTCCCATTTTTGTCATGGTGCTCCTTGACTTGCAAATCCTTTGCCTTTTCAAATTTAATACATAAGACACTATAATATAAGGTAAGGTTTTGGATCAGGAGCAGGAGGCTCAGGTTTTAGTTCTCCCTTGGGCACAGAAGTCAGTTATGAAACCTTGGCCTTAAATTATGATTTCACAAAACACCTATCTACCTATCTGCACTGGGTCAGGGTGCTGATTATGGTTTATAACTTTCAAGAGGAGGCCTTCATCTTGCAGTGGATTGATTTGGGCTGATAATAATAAAAATACACATGCATGTGCTTTTATTGCAGGAAAGATGCCAGTCATAGTGCAGCTAACACAATTAAAGAAGAAATACCTAGGGGGGGGGTAGGCAACCTTGGCTCTTTTATGACTCGTGGACTTCAACTCCCAGAATTCCTGAGCCAGCCGGCTCAGGAATTCTGGGAGTTGAAGTCCACGAGTCATAAAAGAGCCAAGGTTGCCTACCCCTGACCTAGGCAATATTAACTTGCAATCATAAAAATCTCCTTATTGTAGCAACATTCCATTTATAAATGAAACTTAAGGCAGAGTTCTCTGTACGTTCGCTAAAAGAAAAATATAATTTTCTTAATACAATTAAAACAATTAAGCAATTTTCTTAACACAACTAAAACAATTTATACTAATTATCACAGAAACTATTATTAATTTGACACAGATTTGCATTTTTAATTGAAAAATTAAAATTAGAAAATAACACTTTTGTATATTGCTATCAAGATTTTTATTAAAGAGGCATGTATAATATCATACTCCTATACTGAAAGCGCAATTGGAAATAGAGATAATATTTTGAGAGCACAGTAGTTGACAAGCATTACGCTGCATCTTATAGACTCTACTGATGTGGACAGATACATTTACTGATATGCACAAACAGATATAATACTTATCTCAGCCTAGCAGCTGTTAGAAGCAACCAGTTACTTGCAGCTTGAGCTAGATTGAGGCTGAACAAGAGTTACCCTCTGCTTGTCCCCTAGGCTGGCCAGACAATCTACCAAGGAATGGCTTGTCTTTTTCTAAAGTTCTGCTAGACTGTGAAGTTGCAGTGGAGTAGGGTGATAAGCTAATTCTGGTCTCCCTCCTCAGATGATGTGGAAAGAAGAATAACTATATCTGACAGGGCTTACAGAAAGAGGGTATCTAAGGTCCACAATCATGATACTAATCATCATATTGTATATAAAATGTATTGACACTCTATGCCAATGATGGCGAACCTTTTAGAGACCGAGTGCCCAAACTGCAACCCAAAACCCACTTATGCATTGTCGGGTGCCGGGTGGGTGTGGCCAATTGAGGGGGTGTGGCCAATTGGGTGGGCGTGGCTGCGGTGGGACTAAACGGCAGTCTGGGTGGGACGAAAAAGTTCAATCAATCAATTCCAACTTTGCAAGATCTTTTTTTTCCCCGCGAGAAGTTGAAAATGACTGATTAAACTTTTTTTTTTTGCACATGGCGGCAGAGGCCTAAAGTGAAAAGGTTTTATAAAACCCAGCTGAAGGCCTAGGACTGGGGCGACGGCACACAGAGAGGGCTCTGAGTGCCACCTCTGGCACCTGTGCCATAGGTTTGCCACCACTGCTCTATGCATTCACTTGAAAACATCTAAAAAGTATGAAGGACATCAAAGGAAAGGAATACTTACACTGTTTGAGAGGTCCAACAAGACACTTGTAAATCACCTTGTGATTTCCCAATTTAGTGCTGAAGGCATGGAAGGAGAGCCACTGAACTGCTTTGTAAGAATGTGGAACTGAGCTACCTGTTACAAGAAAAAAAGAAATCCCCCAAACTTAGAAATGTATTTTGTGATTCTGTACAATTGCTCTTCTATAAAACATCGCTACTCTGGCACTCTTGAGGGACCAACCAGACTGATATTCGAATGCACTACCGGTTATTTTATTTTACTTCAAAAAGAAGCAAAAAAAAAAAAAAAAAAAAAACCAAACAAAAAAAAAAACCAAAAACCAAAAACAAAACAAACCATGCTGTTGTCACCTTTGTGGGAAAATGATTGGGACCCGCACTTCACACAGGAGATTTAATTCCTCACTACATGCTGATGTCAAAATAAAAAATAAACGGTTGTACCCAGCAGTAACCCAGTGAGGGCTTCCTTTCCAAGCCAAAGAGCATCCCTCAGAGGAAACAATCACTTGAGCAGACAAAAAAGGGGCTTAATGTTACCTAGCTGGGTAATGAAATGTCTGCAGGCAACTGAGTTCAAAGGGCACCAAGGACTCCACAGTTAACTGCCCTTCTCTTAATGTCAAAGTCCCACTCCTAATCACTATTCTTAAAGGCTATTTGAAGGGAAAAGGGGATAGCAACTTCCAATAGTGCAACTTCAAGTTTAATTTGCTTTTAAGAAAGGAAAGAAGAGCTATTTTGGTCTAACTGTTAAGATACTGGTTTAGAAACCAGGAGGCTGTGAGTTCTAGTCCTGCTTTATTCACAAAGCCAGCTGGGTGATCCTGGGCTAGTCAGGGTCTCTCAGCTCAGGAAGAAGGCAGTAACAAACCACTTCAGAAATCTTGCCAAGATTACTACAGGGATTGTCCAGGTAATAAAAAGCATTAAACAAAAGTCAGCCCGGGGTAGACATTTTAAAAGTGGCATTAGGCTCAAAAGATATTTATTTCACCTACCTGCATTTTTAGTTTTCAGAAAAAAGAAGCAGAATGAAGCACTATCGGAGATAACCGTCAGGAAGAAACGTGGGTTATTTCTGATATGGTGATGAAATGGGAGCTGGAGAACACAGGCATGAAATCTAGCATGAAAAAAACCACAGATATTCCTTGCTTATAAGGGTTTCAGATGTACCGGCATTTAATGTCACTGAATTTAAAATTCTGAGGTGGAGTTTGTACTGGATCAAATCAAGGAATTGACTGGCTTTAAAGCCAGCACATATATGGACTCCTACGGGACTCTCTATTGCAATGCTCGCTGTGGAATTCTGGGAGTTGAAGTCCACATGCCTTAAAATTGTCAAGGTTGAGAAACACTGCTCTATTGCTTGGGAACTTTAATAGTTCTCCATTAACTCTTGAACCAAATAGTGATACAAACACAGAAGAAAGCACCAAACTTCTCCTTCTATTTGGCCTTGACCAAAGGGCATGTTCTATAATTCTGATAAGCAAATGTTTGCAGAGAGGAGAGGGGGGGAGGGGAAAAAACCCTTGCAAGAGAAAAGATATGTTCAATTGTAAAGTCATTAAAGGATTATCAGTACTTAAGAAAGTGAAGATGGGAATTCTAATGCAGCAAGCAAGGGCAAGGCAGGAAGATGCAGGTCAAAGCCCAGACAGATTTTATTCAGACACAATGTTCTGGAGCCAAAACTAGTTAATAAATTACATGCTTAGCCTCTGCTTTATGACAGCAGAAGAGAAGGCATGAGGGGTGGGGGTGGAGAGCAGCTGCATGTTCACAGTTATTTAAACTGACATGAACTGACATCGGTTTTGATCTAAGAATGATGCAGATGCATTCCTAATAACATTTACTTAACCAAGAAAGGGCCAAATGCTTACACTGACCCACAATGAAGTTCAGGCAAGCTTGCACAACAGCAGTTCTAAGGAGACCTTCTGTATATTGCCATCCCTGGCCATGCTGCTATGCCTGTCTAACTGCCCCTTCATTTTTTCCCCCAACAACCTCTGATCTGTTTAGACTCAAAGATTTCCCAGGTTATCAAACCAAACTCATGTCCAGTTAGTTTCTTTATTTTAAAAGGGCTTGCTTTTTTGCACTGGCATATTTCTTGGTGAAGATTTCTTGTGCTATTTGCTAGAATATTTGGGGGGGGGGGAAGCAGAACTGTTACCACAGGCACCCAAGAAATAGCATGGCTGGCTCAGGAATTCTGGGAGTTGAAGTCCACGAGTCATAAAAGAGCCAAGGTTGCCTACCCCAGCTTTAGACAATTAAATCCAAATATTTTCCAGAGAACATAGTACCACAATTAAATCCAAATATTTTCCAGAGAACATAGTACCACTTTAGACAATTAAATCCAAATATTTTCCAGAGAACATAGGATTTGATCTAAAGGAAATTGTAAAGTTGCAGATCTCTCATTTATGCATGGCCAGATTAAAAGTAAAACCTTGGACAAGAAGAAGACACTATGAAAACTGTTCTGCTGGTGGTTTATTTGTGGGAGGTGGGAATAAATTGATAAAGAAAGAGTTGGTTGTAAGAAACAGGTGTTTACTTTAGAGTGCATATACTTAGGAAACACAGGAAGTAATTTCAAGTAATTGGGAGCTTTGGAACTGAAGGCAGATCACCTCTTTTAGAAAAACCGCTATGCAAAATTATCCTACCAAACAGACAAGTATTATTTGTGGAACCTATAAATCATGTAAGCATTTCCCCAAATCTCCAAATGAATGGACAATATCAGTAATCACCATTTTTTAAAACAAAATTCTGAGAGCTGCCAATTCTATCTGTGTTACAACTGTAGCATTAAAAAGCATTATCGGGAGGAATGTGGATCAATACTGGAAGTTAACAAAGGCTGCCCAGATAATGCAGATCCTCCTAAAGAGTATAGTAATATATTGCAATATTTATTATGCTAGATCAGTGGTGGCGAACCTATGGCACGCGTGCCAGAGGTGGCACTCGGAGCCCTCTCTGTGGACATGCACGCCATGCCCCGGAGATTGCAGCCATCCTCTTCAACCAGCCACCCGCTAACTTGCCGAGGTCCCACATGTCCGGATGCATCCCAGCACCCATGCGCTTGCTGGCCTTTGTGTGTGGAGACCGATGGTGTCAGGCAGCAGCCGCCCTGGCCCCTGCCTCATCTTGCCCTGTGACATGGCACCCCCGCCCTGTCTCGCCTCAACCTGCAGAACCAGCTTCCTGCTCACTGCCCCACCCACCAGAGACCCCTGGATGTCCCCAACCCTGCCCCCACAAGCGTCCCTCCCCAGAAGCAACATCGAGCTGGCCATGCCCACCCTGGCCACGCCCACCCATCTGCCATGACCACTGTAGCCACGCCCGCCCGGCATCTGGCAATACATAAGTGAGTTTTGGATTGAGGTTTGGGCATTCGGTCTCTAAAAGGTTTGCCATCACTGTGCTAGATGTATTCAAAAGACTCCATTAAAGGGCCATAACCCACCATATTCAAAACAAACGTTGAGAAAGCATAGTGTCACATCTTTCTTACCCACCTCACATTCCAAGGGCGGTTAACAGGGCTTTAAAGCAGTGGTTCTCAACCTTTTTAATGCTGCGACCCCCAACCGGTCGTAAGTCGAGGACTACTCAACTGGTGCAGCACCGTTTGCAGAATGGAACTTTTGGCGGGCTCAGCAGGGCAGAGACAGCCTGGACAATTTCTATTGGCTTTTGAAAGCCAATAGAATTAGACTCTATTCAAGAGAGTCTATTCTATTGGCTTTCAAAAGCCAATAGAATAAAAGGGAGTAGCACAGCTAAGGAAAAGGGGAAAAAAATGGTGGACTGCGTTGTTTGGCGACCCCCGTGAAATGGTCGTTCGACCCCAAATGGGGTCCCGACCCACAGGTTGAGAACCACTGCTTTAAAGTTACATGCTTACCTGTAGGCCTGCAGAAGTAGTATCTTGTAAATATTAATGTACACTGTCCTAAGGCTATTGATCTATATTTAGAGCAGGGAAAATAGAAAAAAGATAATAAAATGTTTCTGCAGCAAACAAACATGCATTAAATCAAATTAAATCAAAATTGTAGATTGAAGGATATAATAAATATTGTATGCCAAGATAACTGTAATGACATCAGTTTCTGGTTCAAGTCGATTGGGTGGCATTAAATATTTAGATTTGACTGTATGTTTGAGATCATTATTCATATAAAGTACCGTAAATGCCGGCGTATAAGACGACTTCCGCAAGCGCTGAAATCGGCGCCAAAGACGGGGGTCGTCTTATACGCCGAGTAGTCTTATATGCCGGAAATACTGGTAGTTTCCGGCGTATAAGACGATGTTCTAGGAATGCGGCCCGGCTATAAAGACGGGGGTCGTCTTATACGCAGGGTCGCCTAATACGGCGGCATATGCGGTACTTTTCAGGCATCCCTTCTGGATTCTGCATTCTTACCTGTAAATCTACCAATAAAGGATGACATTTAAGCTGCAGGACTGTAAGCAATTTATTTCTCATGTTCACACCAGCTGTTCTAGTATAGTTGAAAGACAGGCTTGACCTGATAGATCTGTAAGCATAACTGTAGTGGAAGATAAGTGGAGAAGGAGATCAACGTAATTTAGACATCATTATAGTTCATTAGATATTTTTCCTATTACAAAAATATATTTAAGTTAGCTTTTACAAAATTCAAAAAAAGAATATTTGAAATAATGATCATGTAGGGAAGCATTAAACATTTTAAAATTAGAAAGTCATAACATCTTAAACATTTTGATGGCAATCTATAATTTTTAAAGAAGTGCTTAATTATTTGTAACTTTATACAAAAGGTTCTGGACTTATGCGGAAATCATTTGGAGTTTTCCAGAATTTAGGATTGTTGTTGAGTGGTCTGCCTTGTTCTCTCATCACACATTTCTACACATGGTTCCCTGTCACTCTTCAAACTTACAGCTCAAAACAATTCACATATCAAGGCTGTCATTTGGATGGTGCAATTCAGATTGAAAAATAAAAAGTCTTGCAATCTGCTGAATGATCAGCTCTATTAATTCCAAATATTCCTTCATAGAAATCTGAAACATTCCATTTTTAGATCTCCACAAATTAATCCATTAATCCAAAAATGCATCCCACTAAGTGTGTGATAGAGCATCTTTTATGCCTGCCAGATTTAATCTACAAACACAGCAAGGATTTAAGTTTTATAGAAATCAAAACTGTAGGTTATAGTAGAGGCTTGAAAGCTCATCTTTTTGCTTCTAGTAAGATATATTACTTAGGGTTATCAAATTATTTGAGTTGATTCATCATCTATTTCATAATCTATGTAGATTACTCTGTGTATTATGAAACACCTAATTTGGGAGGATAATATAGTTCTAAATGATTTTAAATTTAACAAAAGTCACTTGAATATAGCGGACTATTTTCACTATGTTTTTGTACTTCATATTCTAACTAACTTGCCACAACCAGCCTTTACGGATAAGCAAATATGCTGTTTACCTTTGGGTCTTTATTTAATTGAACTTTGCCTACTAAATTTAGCTTCACTGATTCATCCATTAAATCTTTGGTTTATCAACTATCTTAAGATTAATGCAATAACTATTCATCAATAGTACATACCTGGAGTAATCATAATAAATTTCAAGAGTCTGTGTATTAATTAATAATCCACACCATGGGATAACACAGTGAGCTGGTAATTGTTTGAACTCCAAGCTACGTGGAACGTTTTCATCCACAGGAAAATTCACCACAGTCTTAGATGGACTTAAAACAAAGCCATACTCTGGAATGCCTTTGGCTAGAATCCTACATGAACGAAAATATATGTTCCAAATTGCTTCCTAAAATATGTATACATCATGAATTCCACCACAATAACTAACTGTAGATACATATAAATTCCTCCAAATAAGTAGTCAGCTGTATAGTCTTTCCAAAACTCCAGAATTGTAATAGTTAGAATGAAAGCTGGGGAAAGCCGCTTGTAGGTCAGATTACATCTGATAGGTTAGGTTTTGATATTAGAATTGCTAATTTTAAGCAAGATGGCAATAAGCCTAAAATATAAGAACTTTATAACCTCCCCTGCCCCCCCCCCCCGATTGGCTTTTCTTCAGTTATATGAATTTAGTCACTGCTACTTGCTTACCCCCTTTTTTATCAAGTCCATTTTGGTTTTGCTAACCATGGAAAGAGCAAGGACTGATCACTTTATTTAGAATCAATATACCAGCAGGATCATAACCCATGCTTTTCATGGAAATCATTGCTACCTCTACAGGACTTTATTGAAAGTTTCAGTTTATTTCCTCTTGCATATATTCTAAAGAATGCATATATTTAAAAGAAAGCATTTTAAGTGCACCTTTATGGAATATCCATATAGAAAAATGTGAAAGAACAGCAGAATAGTACAAGGTAGGAATGTTTTCATTACGTTATGCACAGAAAATTAAAATTCAAGGAAAGACGATTAAATCACTCATTAAAAATAGTATCTTTCATTGTCATACCTCAGAAATGTTTTTGCTTGTTCTAAATGAGGTGTAACGAGCAGAAAATCATCTGTTAAACGCATCAGTACTCTGTAATATGAAAAAAAGTTAATATCTTGGTCGGGTACATTTAAATTTTAAAGCACGAATGCATTGCTCATATTTCTTCATTTTCCAATTACTTGAGGTAAACGTAATACACATATTACTCCCATTACATACACTATTCTATTATCCAAATCTTCATTATAAAAAAAAAAGTATCAGTGCTATAAATTAACCTTTCACCCATAAATAAAATTGGCACAAAACCAAACAGGATTGTAAATTCTGATCATCCATCACAATGATGGATGAATCCACTTGCTATGTTTAATTCCCATACGATGAGAAGCTGATTGGATTTGAATCTGAGCAGAAGAATACATTGAAAAAAAAACAATTTTTTTCTGAGAACTTAAGTAAGGATAACAGGATATGCTTGGATTTTTGCAGGCTTTCTCCATACCATCTGCCAGACGTCAGAGTCAGGCTGAAGATACAAATAAAGACTTCCTTGGCTCAAATGTGGCTTAAATTCTGAGTGTCCACATAATCTTCCTGGTAGCAAAAGTGCTTTGTCACTGCCTTTCTCCCAGATGGTTTTCAGACTTTTCAATTCAGGCTTTGCCTTCAGAATTTCTGGTAACCTTTAATCCAAGCACTAGCTATTCAACTCAGTATAGTCATTATTACTGATAATAAAAAAACTTTCCTAAATATCTTGCCAATACCATAATCTTGCCAGAAATCCTGATACACTGCAAGCAAATCAAATAAGCTTATACTCTACACATATCTGAGAATGGTTGTATTAATGTGGTGCTTATCCCAGCACCACATTCACAGAAGGGAAAATAACACCCCTCCCAGAAGTCTCAAAATAATTTAGTTTTGGGTCGAAGTGGGAGAAGAGGATAAATTCATTGTTGGCTCTTGACCACCTTTGTACAGGGGTCATCACATAGGCAAACATGGGTGCCCTTGATCTGTTTTAATGGGCTAGTACAGTGGTTCTCAACCTGTGGGTCGGGACCTCATTTGGGGTCGAACGACCATTTCACGGGGGTTGCCAAACAAGGCTGTCTGCCATTTTTTTCCCCTTTTCTTTGGCCATGCCCCTGGCACCCAGTGATGTATAAGTGGTTGGGGGTCACCACAACATGGGGAACTCTATTATGGGGTCGCGGCATTAGAAAGGTTGAGAACCACTGGGCTAGTATAACATGTCAATATTTACTTGTTCCGATTTAAATGTTGGAGGAGGTAAGAAAGACACAAGTATAGGATGTGCTTATTGCTTGATCCAGAAAGACTTGACTAAGTATTGGTTTTTTATTTCATTTCAAGCTGCACCTTTGAAGAAAGCAACTCTGCATTCTTATGTGTATGCCAAAGAATCTGTTTGGCACTGCTGGCTCCTGGTTATATCAAAACTGACAGCTTTTTGTACTGTCGTATTCTGAAATGGATTCTGGAAGGAGTATTTTTCCAGAAATGCCACTATTTTTATGAAGTACTAGCAAAAGGGAGTTTTGTCAGATTCCTGGAGACAAAGAGCTAAAATTCCTAGGCCTGTTTGAAATGCAGCTTTGAAAATAGTTTACATTTTGAGGCAGATACATATGGATGTTGGGGAGGAGGTACCGTGTTTCCCCAAAAATAAGACTCGGTCTTATTATTATTACTTTTGCCTCCAAAAGAAGCACCAGGTTTTATTTTGGGGGGGTGTCTTTTCCACTCACCTCCAGCGCCGACAGCCCTGCCCAGTTAGCCCACTTCTTCTGTGGCTGAAGGAGCAGCTGAGAGTGGAGCTCCGGCATACATTTCGCTCTACATGGGGCTAACCTTGAAGAGCGTTCGGAGGCTGCAGTTGGTTCAGAATGCAGCCGCGAGAACGATTGTGGGTGAACCAAGGTACACCCACGTGTCACCTATCCTTCGCGAGCTGCACTGGCTTCCTGTGGGTCTCCGGACGCAATTCAAGGTGTTGGTTGTCACCTTTAACGCCCTTCATGGCTTAGGACCAGGTTACTTACAGGACCGCATACTGCCGCACAGTTCCCAGAGACCGGTGAGGTCCCACAGATTGGGCCTCCTTCAGGTCCCATTGGCCAGACAATGTCGGCTGGCGAGACCTCGGGGAAGGGCCTTTTCTGTGGTGGCTCTGACGTGGTGGAATCAACTTCCCCCGAGATTCGAACTACTCGCACCTTGCCGGCCTTCAAGAAAGCTATTAAAACTCTCCTGTTCCGGCAGGCCTGGGGTTGATGTCCCTGGGGGGGGGGGATTCGATTGGGACATGCTGTGTGAATGTATTCATTTTTAATTGTTATACTTGTTGTTTTAAATTTTGTACGCCGCCCTGAGTCCCTAGGGATTGGGCGGCATATAAATTTTACTAATAAATTTTACTAATAAATTCCACAGTCAAAGGCCTTTCCGGAAAGCCACTATAGCTGAGAACTGAGCTATGGATTCAATCCATAGCTCGGTTCTTGGTTGCAGTAGCCTTCCGAAAGGCCTCTGACTACAAAATGCAAGTCTGGGGATGCCGCAGAAGAAGTGGGCCGGTGAGGAGAGGCCAGGCTGCAAGTTAAGTGGGTATGGGGCGCATGGGGCAGCTCCACACCCCCACCCAGCTTGATTTTTAGGTATGTGCCTCACCCCAAAACTAGGGTTTATTTTTGGGGTAGGGCTTACTTTTGGGGAAACACGGTAGTAATGGCATGTGTCATTACATCATACAAGTGAGGCAAATTAGAGATGTCATTCAGCTGACACAATATAATTTGTATAAATTTGATTTCACAGTGACACATGTAACAATGTAGCTTTAACCGAACACCTATATAGAATCTTCCTATATTTCAATTTGGCTAGTTTGCTTTACTGTTTCTCAACTTTCATCTGTTGGATTATAATTTAATAGACAGAATTGGAGCAAGAACAGACTCTGATCTGTAATATGTTTGGCAGACATGTGGGGGAAAATAATAATCCCTCCACCTCCTTTCATCCTTAATTGGAAGAGTTTATACTGGGCTTCATGTTATTACCTAAGCAATGAATGATACTTAATTTTTATAAAGATTGTAGCACAAGAGAGTTTGGTCCTTTGGGAATGGCTAAGATGCCAAACAGCAGAATAACACCTTACCCGTCCTTTTGCACATTGCACAGTAACTTGTTCTCCATGTCTCCATAGCAAAGGTTGCAAAGTAGAGTTGATAAAATGGAGCCCTGGGGAATTCCACAGCACTGCACATAGTACCTGAGAAATGCCAGGAACCAAAAGTCCACTGTCATTAAGAACTCAAATCTGGTAGTAAAATGAAGTTAGTTGTAGTAAGGCTGATCATTTCACTGCATTAAGGAAGTATTTTGTGATGGGCAAATTGTGTATCATATGAGAAACATATGACATGGACAATGATTTCCCTGTAAATAGAGCAAGTAAGTGGGGCTTGAGCTGGAATCTTGGTGGAGGGGACAGAAAATAGGCTTTTCTATTAGGATAACATTGCTCCAAGTTCTGTTGGATAGCAATACTCAGAATTCTGAATCGATGTATTGATTCATCTGCTCAACATTCCCTCAAATAAGCACCTATTTCTCTCTTCCCACCTGGCAATAAAGATTCACACTGGTATCTCATGGACTTCTCCCTTGGTATCTCACGGGCTTCCTCCCTATGTACTTCCTCTCTTTACCTTCAGCTATACAAGCAGTAGCATGAAACGGAATATTTCTGACATAGCTGAATAGACAACTTACCTAACTATATTCTTAAGTTTGTGGATCATGAAAATATTGTTAAAACCTTCCCCTGCAGTAGAACACAATGCATTCAAACGCATTCAAACGTTGAAGCTACGGTATCTGATGGATTTGGTCTATATCTATATTTAAAATAAGCCTGAGTATATGGGACAACAGTAAATATTTCTCTTCCCACCTGCAGGTACATTCCACACTACCAATCAGGATTCTACTCACTATGATTTTCCTAGGCTGGGGGGAGGCAGAATAACTGTCTAATGGAGAGAGAGGAAGAGAAATAAATTTAAAGGACTTCTGAGGAAGGGATGGCAAATTGAAGATAGCTTTGTCTGGCTTTCCTCAAGGCTTTTGCTGCCAAGAATGGAGGCAGAGAGCGGCATGCATGCCCCTCCCGGCCTCCATTCTTGGCGGCAAAAGCTCTTTGCAAAAATGACCGGAGCCTACAGGGACGCAATCTCTCGCCCCTGCAGGCTTCAGCAAGCCTTTTGCTCAAGGCTTTTTCCGCCAAAAATGGAGGCTAGGAGAGACACCCCTCCTCCTGCCCTCCATTCTTGGTGGCAAAAACTTTCTTCAAAGACGACTGGAGCCTGCAGGGATGCAATCTCTTGACCCTGCAGGTTTGGGCAAGGAAGCGGCAAACAGACAGAAGTCCTGAAACACCAAAACTTCCCATCCCTTTGCAAAGGCTTTTGGCACGGATCTCGCTCAGGCCTCCATTTGCAGAGAATGGAGGCCTGAAGCACTGCGAAATCGGTAGCAAATTCTCTGCGAAGACAAGGAGGGCCTGAAGCACTGAAGCAGGCAAAGAAACTGCGGCAAAGAGGCTGGAGAAGAGACAGCTTGCTAGATCTTTGCAAGGTAAATCTCCACAGGCCCAGTGCGGGGGGGAGGGGGGAAATAGGCAGGCGAATGTTGCAGTGCCTCTGCGGTCATTCGTAAGGGGGAACGACCGTCGTGGTGCTGCAACATTTGTAACCTCGGGACTATGTCGTAAGAACTTGAGGGGATGTGATGTCGTAACTTCGAACAGTCACTAAGTGAACTGTCGAAACTCGAGGATTACTTGTATGACAAAAAGAAAATGGAGCTAAACCAATGGTATGTTTGGAAACATTTCTTCTTGCACATGTGTAAGTCGATTTCCCAATCCAAGGTCTGCCACCATTTGAATAAGTGGATTCCTCCCCATCCCCAGTGCTCAGATGCTCCTCTTTGTCCAGAGTTTATGTAAGTTCATCCCTGCCCTCTAATCTCTCTTGTTTATTCTCCTAAATGCTCTAGATTTGCCCTCTACTATACTCTAACCCATGTTTTAGATAAATTGGTCCCTCTTCAATCAACTCCTTAAAAAAATTTTTTTAGTAATAATAGAATGAATACATAAGTGGCTGGCATTTCAGGAGCTATCTGAATGCATTCAAGAGGAAAGGCTGGCTGGCTAAGCACAGAGTGCTCTGAGGTCAGAATCAGTTTAAATCCTGACAGATGTTCTGGCTTCTACCCTCAAGAGGGTTAAGAATGATCTTTAGAAGAAAAGATTATTTGAAAATCGCACAGCAATGACTGTACCGAAATGAATTAAAAATGAAAGGACTTGGGAAAAAAGAAACAAAATGAACAGCAAAATAACAAGAGGCTGTGTACCACCAAGAGAAATAATCATTGTAGCTTTATATGCCATCAAAACCAAGTGGCAAGAATATTAATTGCTAAACAAAAAAAAAAAAATCAGCAACAGCAGTATAAATACTTCTCTTAATCTCCAAAAAAGAAGACACTATAGACTTTAGTCCATGTTTGAACTTCCTAGAACACTGAGAGTTTGGCAGCCTTTGACAATAGCTCCATTCCTTCCACTACACGATGGGAATGAAATAATTAACAATCTGACTAGAGATATGCAGGTCAGAAGATAAATGTTGCCAATTCAGCTTCTGCACACAGCCTAATGTATGTGTACACTTTGAGCAAGCAACTAAATTTCATTTTTAATATGTGCCGTTATACCCACAGTAAAAAAATGACAATAAAAGTTATCTAATCTGATCTAATCTAAATCTAGTGAAGAAATCCAAGGTCCCCTAAGGTTAATAAATCCTTCAAGGTCCTTTCCAATTTTATGTTCTATGAAAACTTAAAAACTTAGGGAATTGTCAATTCCTTAGTTCGGAAAATAGTGAGTTAGAACCATAGAATTTGCCACCAACTTTAACCATTTTAAAAAGCACTAGCACAAATTCATGGCAAATCAATGGCTCTTCTCCAAGACGATTATATAAATATTTCTTGTAATAAAGGCAGCAGGCCTTTCAGTAATAATTACTAGAGAATATGGATGGGAGGATATTCAGATGCTCAGCTTGGGGGCTCTCAGGGGCCATCTAGGAGGCCATTTTGGAAAAGACTGAAAGGGTTTGAGGCCCTTACCCAACCTCCTAAAATCCTATCCCAATTAAAATCCAATCAAAAGCAAGTTGCCAGGTGAAACATTCATATAAAGCTTACAATAAACATGTACCTGTCCTCAATCTTCAGGATATTATTAGGGATCAACTGCAAGAAAAACTCCCGGAGGCTAGAACTTTCTTCCGTCAGAGAAACATGCTGCAATAACAAAAAAGAAAAGTAAATATAAAAACAGCCCAGGTAAAATATTTTTAAATGAGACCTGTGCATTTTTCGGTTGCCAAATCAGTAAATTAAGTGAAGAAAATCCCCCTCTCCTACTTTGCAGTTAATTACTGTCCCTTGATAGTTATCACCAACTTCGTTAGGGAGGGAGGGGGAAGGGAATGTAATTGCAAAAGGCATAAATCATCTTCTGAGGTTATAACAGAAGCAAACCAAATTAGGTAAAACAACCTATACTGATCGATGTAACACAGGATCATATTATGTATTATGTATTATGTAATCATTATGTATTAATTTGTAATCTGTATGGCCAAACTTCTAAGAACCTCTTGTGTATTTAAAGGTCCAGTATGTGGTAGTACTACATGAAAGAAAAAACTCATTCAAAAATTAAAAATACCTATAATAAAATAAGCTATAATCATAATCTATAATAAAATAAGGAGGATGCGTAACCTACAATGAAATAAGCCTATCCATCAAAATGACACTGTATGTTACTACCATCTAGTGGTAGTATCTGGCAATAACACCCAATCAGCTATACTCAAAAGGTAAATTCCAATAAACATAGTATGTACACTGTCAATTGAAAGAGAATTGATAGAACACTTGAATGAGCCCATTTAAGACTATATAAACATGCATTTTAAAAGGTATAAATTTTACATATGCAAATGTCAAGGTTTCTTATAAATTTCCCTTAGACATTTGGAATAGGTTGGACACCATAATACCCAAGGCTTTTTTTCTCATAGAACGCCCAGAATGGAGTTCTGGCATCTTTTTTGGATGGAACCTTGTAAGGTAAGCAAGGCGGGTTGTATGATGTGTGTGAGTTCCAGCACCTTTTTTTTTTTTTTTAAGAAAAAAAGCACTGATGATACCCATTAAGATTTGAAGCATTAAAGCAAGACAGGAACCAGGAGGGAAAAAAAGGAGATGGGTTGAACTTTGAGCCATGTTTGTAACTGTTTAACATTTTAAGATACAGTGAGAGGCAGCTTTCAGACTTGCAAACCAAGTCTTCTCAGGACCAGAGTGTTGCTAGATTGAAAAGCAGCTCTCTGAAAGCTTGCTGAAAAACAGGCAGATATTTGTAAATTCTTTTTCAGAAATATAAATTCTAGCTGTTAAAATTACCTGTTCAACAATTATAGCATTTCTCAGTGAAGTGCTCTGTTGAAGATGAGATACAAACTGTTTCATTCCATATATAAACTCATTGTAAGTTGAGACCTGTAAAAACATTCAAATTAAGTTATTTTAACTTCACAAAAGATTATAACATATAACATAAAACAGGAAAGGGTAAGATATCTGAGTAAAAATTACCAATAATTTTCAGACATAAAAATAAAAATTCAAAAGCCTTCTCTGATAATGCCCAGGATTAAAAACATAACTGGGGACAAGAAAGACTGGTTAACAAGTCTGGCCACAGTTTTTCTCAAACAGAATGAAAAAAGCTTTCTTTAAAGCCTAAAACCTAGCTTTTAAAAAGTATAATGAACATCACCAGATAGGCCTGAGAATCACTTTTGGCTTAACAATGTTAATTTATGTAAGGCTACTTATATAAATTATATGTTCAATGAAGTTATTAGAATGCATAAGACTGCAGGTTATCAGATACATTTTAATGGAGCCCATAATGGCTATACTCTTACTACAGCCTATAAAATGGCTGTACTCTCCCAGAGATTGTTCTATATACCTTTACTTGTTTAATTGTTTTAATGTTTGTAATTTGTATGGCTAATTTTTTGGGGGGGTGTTGGTAGTATTTGTTTCAATTTTAAACTGCCCAATCATGAATGTATAAATTGAAATATATAAACTGAATAAATGAGCAAACAAATAAACAAACCAAAAGCCATTCTGTATGAATGCCATGATATAAATTACATTTATTTTCAAATATCAAATTAAAAAGGAAAAAAGACATTAAAACGTTAAATAATTGCAAAAAAATCATATTTAACACCCAAATCTAAGAATCAATTATTTAGCCTAACTCAGTGGTTCTCAACGTTTGTGTGACGGCGACCCCCGTCACACAAACGTTCTGCGCATGCACGGCGCCGCGCGCATGGGGGCAGGGCCCCATGCGTGGTGCCGCCCCCATGCACACCGTGTGGTGCCGCCATGTGCGGCACGCATGCGCGGCAGCGCCCCCATGCGTGGCACGCATGCGCGGCGGCGCCCCCTGAGGGGAGAAAATGGCGGATCGCTTCTTTGGCGACCCCCGAAAAATGGTCGATCGACCCCAAATGGGGTCGCGACCCATAGGTTGAGAGCCGCTGGCCTAGAAATTAGGAGATAGGCTACATCAATTCTGGTGACAAAAAACTACAATATTTTAAGTCCTAGAAGCAAACATGACTTTAAATATAAATATGGGCATATATCAATATCCATGGGGAAACCTTCTCACCAATTCTCTTTTCTTTTTAGCACTGCTTCCTTTTACTTCAAGCTGAACATTTGCAGAATGAAGTAGCACAAAAGATACATAAAAGAAGAGAGTTAATACTTACTATAGGAATCACACAGAGAAGATGTTGCTCTACTTAATTTTGGCTGATAGAAAAGGAATAATTTTATTAAAAGTCTCTCCCTAAGGAGCATTTCTTGTAAAATTGGATCAGACAAGAAAAAAAAACCCTTACAAAAAGGATTAACTGAAAATTTTTTCAGAAATTGTTCAGTGTGATGTCATTATACTTTTCTGGAAAATCCATCAAAAGATCCCCTTTCTGCTGTGTTTATTCAAAAAATAAGACAAAAAAAACTAGTGCAGCTCTTATCTTTTGCAAAAGTTTAGCATGAAAGAAAATCCACTTCTTTCTTCAGCAGAGCAAAGGAAAGGGAAGATGGCTTTCATCAGCATTTGCAAGAGCCTGTTGCAAATGAGGAAAACCACTGCAAAGGCCACAATGGTAGTTGTGACCACAAGGGACAGAACAAAATCCAAGGGCTATTACCATGTTGTGATTTATCTAGTATAGAATGTACAGCTTCCTTGTAAGGATCACAGGTAGTATTACTAATCTCTCGAGGGTCACCTTCTTTGAGATCTCAGGTGAACAGAGCAATCTTTAACTCATCAGGAATACCTAATTCTTTGGGAAACTTAGTTTTTAGTTCCCTGGGAAAATTCCAGCTTGATGTAGAGTGAAATCTTCTTCAACCTATTAGCTATTCAAGAGATTGGAAACCCAAGAACTTCCGGTTTTGCGTTGTAGATGCAGGAAGGCAAGGCTCTACCTTCCGTGCCTGATTTCGCCCTGCTGGGGGCCCTGAAAAAGACCTAAAGTCACCCCAAAGAAGCAATGAAGAAGGAGGGGTGCCCTGTCGATCATGGAGAGACGGTGGTCTCTCCATTCGATGCAAAGAAAGCCCTCTAAACCGGCAGGGGAAAAACCGACCACACCTCTGCAGCCGGCCATTAGCTGCTGACAACCGAAGAACAAAATCCTTAATTAGCACGTCGTAAACAGCATGTTTGGACTAGGTGAGAATATATTGATCCTTTCTTTCCTATTTTACAACTGAATTTCCTGGGAAAGGGTCCCAAGAAGCCTAAAATCTCCAGATGTGAACGGAAGTGGAGTTTTAAATTTGTTATGGGGAACAGAAATACATAATACTGAAGTAAAGTAACACAAAACTACAGTTTTGATAAATCTGAGAACTGAGATGATTGTTAAGATTTTCTCTTGAAAAAAAATTATTGAGGTGAAATATAAGAAACCAACCCTTTAAGGTTGCCATAGGTGTATACTACAGACCATCCAACCAAACAGAGGAAATAGATGAACTTTTTGCTAGTCAGCTAACTAAGGTATGTAGGAAGCACATCACAATAGTAATGGGGGACTTTAACTACCCTGACATCAACTGGGAGACAAACTCCGCACCAAGTGGAAGATCAAACAGGTTCCTGGCAAACCTAGCAGACAACTTTGTCTCTCAAAAAGTAGAGAAGGGAAGTAGGGGATTAGCCATTTTGGATCTAATTCTCACTGAGATGAAATGATAGAAGGTGTTGAAGCCATAGGAACCCTGGGAGGAAGTGATCATGCAATATTAGAATTCAACATTATAGAAGCACAAGCAATAGAACACAGTCAAACTAGAGTCTTGGACTTCAAGAGAGCTAATTTCAACAAACTTAGAGAGGGTTTGGGAAGGATTCCATGGATGAGAATCCTCAAGGGGAAAACAACTCAAGAAGCTTGGGAAATTTTGAAAAATGAGATACTAAAAGCACAGTCTAGCACAATACCAACAAAGAGGAAAAACAACAGTTCTCAAAAGAAACCAGCATGGCTGCATAAAGAACTCTCTGACAAATTGAAAGATAAAAAGGACAAATATAGAAAGTGGAAAGAGGGGAACATAACTAAGTCAGAATATCAGCAAATAGCCCGAGCCTGCAAAGATGAAGTGAAGAAAGCCAAGGCTCAAAATGAACTAAGGCTTGCGACCAAAGTCAAAAATAACAAAAAAAGCTTCTTTCAACATGTAAAAAACAAGAAAAAAGTGAAGGAAATGATTGGTCCATTAGTGGGTGGAAGTGGCAAGAAGGTGACAAGCAACAGGGAGAAAGCAGAACTATTTAACTCGTTTTTTGCATCTGTCTTTACACAAAGGGAAAAAACAGACCAACCTATCAAAAATAGTGCCATAAAAAACAAAATAGAAACACAAGTTAAGATAGGCAAGAAAATGGTAAGTGAGCACCTGTCCAGCCTAGATGAGTTCAAATTGCCAGGACCAGATGGATTACACCCCAGAGTTCTCAAGGAATTGGCAGATGTGATATCGGAATCACTGAACTATATTTTTCAAAGATCCTGGAATACAGGGGAACTACCAGAGGACTGGAAAAGAGCTGATGTAGTTCCCATCCTCAAAAAAGGAAAAAAAATGGATCCAGGAAATTACAGACCTATCAGCCTGACCTCAATACCTGGGAAGATCCTGGAAAAGATAATCAAACAACGAATCAACGAACACCTAGAGGCAAACAAAGTCATTACTAAAAGCCAACATGGGTTTGTCAAAAATAGATCATGCCAGACAAATCTTATTGCATTCTTTGACCAAGTGACAAAATTAGTGGATCAGAGGAATGCTGTGGACATAATTTACTTGGACTTCAGTAAGGCATTTGATAAAGTAGATCACAACCTACTACTTGATAAGATAGAAAAATGTGGGGTAGACAGAATCCACCACCAGATGGATCCGTAGCTGGCTGACCGGCCGTACTCAGCGAGTGGTCCTCAATGGAACTGCATCTATATGGAGGGAAGTGTGTAGTGGGGTGCCCCAGGGCTCTGTTCTGGGCCCAGTGCTCTTCAACATCTTCATCAACGATTTGGATGAAGGGATAGATGGGGAACTCATCAAATTTGCAGAAGACACCAAGCTGGCAGGAATAGCCAACACTCCAGAAGACAGGCTTAAGATACAGAAGGATCTGGACAGACTTGAACACTGGGCACTAACTAACAAAATGAAATTCAATGGTGAAAAAAGCAAGGTTCTACATTTAGGCAAGAAAAACCAAATGCACAAGTACAGCATAGGTGGCACCATGCTCAATAGTAGTAACTGTGAGAGGGACCTCGGAGTCCTAGTAGACAATCACTTAAATATGAGCCAGCAGTGTGCTGCAGCTGCCAAAAAGGCCAACACAGTGCTAGGCTGCATTAACAGAGGGATAGAATCAAGATCACGTGAAGTATTAATACCACTCTTCAATGCCTTGGTAAGGCCACACTTGGAATACTGCATCCAGTTTTGGTCACCACGATGTAAAAAAGATGTTGAGACTCTAGAAAGAGTACAGAGAAGAGCAACAAAGATGATTAGGGGACTGGAGGCTAAAACATATAAGGAACTGTTGCTAGAATTGGTATGTCTAGTTTAACGAAGAGAAGGACAAGGGGGGACATGATAGCAGTATTCCAATATCTCAGGGGCTGCCATAAAGAAGAGGGAATTAAGCTATTTTGCAAAGCACCTGAAGGCAGGACAAGAAGCAACGGGTGGAAACTAATCAAGGAGAGAAGCAACCTAGAACTAAGGAGAAACTTCCTTACAGTGAGAACAATTAATCAGTGGAACAGCCTGCCTCCAGAAGCAGTAAATGCTCCAACACTGGAAGTTTTTAAGAAGAGACTGGACAGCCATTTGTCCGAAATGGTGTAGGGTTTCCTGCCTGAGCAGGGGGTTGGACTAGATGACCTCCAAGGTCCCTTCCAACTTTACTACTATTACTAAGAGTGAAAAATGGACTTTGAATGACATCTACTGGTGGATTTAAGTACAGCACCATAACTAGCTCCTTGGCTGCTTAGTACAGCAGGCAATAAAGGAAAATATTTTGGCATTTTTATCATCCTGACCTTCTTGGACTATAAATACCTACTGAGCTTGGACTTTTAATCTCAAGAGCTAGTGGGAGAGAAAGGAAAAATAGTCTTTTGAATACATTTAGCTGCAGGGAGGTTGAACATTTTGAACACTTGGAACATTGTGGACTACAACCTTGCCTGACTGATAATTTTCAGGATACTTGAGATAAAAGATTACTATAAAATATTGCTATAAGGACTGGATTATAAAGGCTAAAGGAAATTTTGTTCCACTCTTACTGAGACTGGTGATACTAAATGATTTCTAGGAATGATGCCTCAAGAAAAAACAAATATTTTTCAGAAGGAAATACTCTCTATGATACAGCAAACTCATCAAACAATTGTTGCACAAAAAGAGGACATAAAAAGAAACCATAATGAGAATAAAAATAACCTAGATCAGTGTTTCCCAAACTTGACAATTTTAAGGCATGTGGACTTCAACTCCCAGAATTCCACAGCCAACGTTGCTGGCTGTGGAATTCTGGGAGTTGAAGTCCTCATGCCTTAAAATTGTCAAATTTGGGAAACACTGACCTAGATGATATAAAAGACCAAATCTCCAAATTGAAGCTACAACAGGAAACCTCCCAGATAATGACTTCAAAGTATGAACAAATAAACCAGAAATCAGAAGATGAAGCAGAAGAAATGGTAGAGGAGATAGGAGAAGGGAAAAATGGACTGCCACATACAAATAAAATATTGCAAGACCTACTTATAACAATGAAAATACAAAAGATCTCTTACTTACTTCTCCAAAATACACCTGAGGACAAGGAAGAAGATTCGAGAAAACGGAATGTAAGAGCAGGCAAGGGAAATGTCTAGGGAATGTGGATGGGCAGAGTCCCCCCCACCAAAATACTTTACCTAAATTGCCTTTCTTATGCCAAGCAGCTTTCACAAAAATAGAAAGAAAATTTTGGGGTGATTTAATTGCTTTGGCTTGGAAAGCTACTTGGCAAAGAAAGAAAGCGAGAGTTAGACTTAAAAAACAGAAGATTTGATTTATCAGAGGGGGTACTATCTGTTTAATATACCTGTTTGAATATGATTAAAAGAATGGATGACCCTTATTTAAAACTATATTTTTATAATGGAAGAAACGATTTAGAATTAAAATAACATTTTTTCTTTTTTTTGATATGGGAAATTTCCAAAAAAAAAAAAGAGGATTGGTATGAATATTTTTTTTTTTAAGTTGGGCAACAGGAAAAAGTGAGCAGGGTTGAAAACTGCAGGGAGAGCATCAAAATACTACCACATAGAGTTTGAGTTGCACTATGTGACCTAACACATTTAAAGAACCCAACTTTATTTTTTTAGTACCATAATAATGAGGAACTCTCATGTCTCTCTTACGTGTGTTTTGTAACATTTTTTAATACATCCATTTCCAGTCCTGATGATTGCTGCATACTGTCGTAGGCTGTACGTGGTATTTCTGTCTGGTGCAAGAATCTGTAAAATCACTTCTACCAGTTTATCATGGGGAAGACTGTCATAAGCTCCGGTGACATCAGTCTGGAAAAGAAACAGATACAATTTCTTAACTTTCAAGTTTCAAATGTCACTCAAAATAAATGTGGTAACAATAGAAAAGTATTCACTCACAGGCTGATAAATTATGCAACCGTCATGGTTTTCAAATAACATCAGTGTGCATAGTGGCCACTTATAATTCTCCATAAATCAGTGGTTCTCAACCTTTTTAATGCCGCGACCCCCAACCGGTCGTAAGTCAAGGACTACTCAACTGGTGCAGCACCGTTTGCAGAATGGGACTTTTGGCGGGCTCAGCAGGGCAGAGACAGCCTGGACAATTCCTATTGGCTTTTGAAAGCCAATAGAATTAGACTCTATTCAAGAGAGTCTATTCTATTGGCTTTCAAAAGCCAATAGAATAAAAGGGAGTAGCGCAGCTAAGGAAAAGGGGGAAAAAATGGCGGACTGCGTTGTTTGGCGACCCCCGTGAAATGGTCGTTCGACCCCAAATGGGGCCCCAACCCACAGGTTGAGAACCACTGCCATAAATAAAGGAAAGTAACAGAAGGCATTTTTTTCATTTTATTTATTCAATTTCTGTAGCCCTCAACTCGAACCAAGTGATTCTGTGCAGCTTTGGTTTGATTATATGTAATTATGCTCATCTTTAGTAAAGAATGGAGATTAACCATCCCCCCCCCCAAAAAAAATGTTCATTTTTTTCCCCAGAAGGGCTGGGTAGTGGGAGACGAACTGTATGCCCTTATTGTTAATGATCACTGATCATAACAAAAACTATGTTTATCTGCCTACATATGTTCTTGTCTTTGAGGCAAAGTTCAAGACTTTCAAACATTTTTGTGGAATTTCTACAAAACAGATATATTTACTAAATGGTGTGGAGAAGTACAGGACAAATTTTAGGCTGTAGAATCTTTTGTTTTTTTCTGCAACATTGAAGAACAATTAATGCTAGATATAAATTATCAACTAAGGAATGAGAATATAGTTGGCAAAATAGAAACTGGATAACACAATTTTTGTGAACTAGGAAGATTGAATTTTCCTTAGGAATGAAGAGGGAATGTGTTTGATTTCACTGCTATCTTGATGAAAATCCACGTTTTCCTGAGAATGCCCTTAATTCTAACTCCTGTGTACGGCTAAGGTCATAGAGACCATTTTCCATCAACAGATCCTGATACCTTGTTTCCTTGAAAGTAAGACCTATCCCAAAAATAAGCCCTAGCTTGATTTTTGGGGTGGGTCTAATAGAAGCCCTACTCCAAAAATAAGCCCTAGTTTTGGGGCAAGGCACACACCTAAAAACCAAGCTAGGATGAGGGTATGGAGCTGCCCCACACGCCCCGCACCCACTTATCTTGCAGCCAGGCCTCTCCTCGCCAGCCCACTTCTTATGCGGCGTCCCCAGGCCTGCATTTTGCAGTCAGAGGCCTTTCCAGAAGGCCACTGCAGCCAAGAACTGAGCTACGGATTGAATCTGTAGCTTGGTTCTTGACTACAGTGGTTTTCTGGAACTCCATTCTCAGCTTTATACACAGAATGTTAGTTGCCAATCCTTTGTCCTTGATGCAGCCTTGTTTTTTGCTTTGTTCTTCTTTCTAAGCTTTCTGGTTTGTCTGGACTATGACCCTGCATTTGCTCCATCATATCCTATGTTGATTTGCTTCAGATAAGCAGCTCCAGAGGTACTGTCATGAAGTCTGACAGGATTGGGAAGTTGTTGTTTTTGGCTTGTCTTTTCATCTTAACACAGCGTTTCTCAACCTTGACAATTTTAAGGCATGTGGACTTCAACTCCCAGAATTCCACAGCCAGCAATGTTGGCTGTGGAATTCTGGGAGTTGAAGTCCACATGCCTTAAAATTGTCAAGGTTGAGAAACACTGTCTTAACAGGAGCTGAACTTTTCTGGTCAATGCTATTGCTCTGGTAATCAAAAATAAAATATATACTTCCAAGAAACAAGACTGCATCCTTAACAAAAGAAAAAGGTTGAATTTAATCAAAAAGGAGGCCCATTCACAAAGTGAGCAACAGCTTCTTTTTTTTTTTTTTAAACATACCTTCACAAAGTAGAATTTAGGCATTTCAGCATATGATTCCAAAACCCTTGAAACAAACTTCTTCCATATTGGATATATGTCATCCTTTCCACACACAGTTGAGCCAAGCAAAGCAGGGTTCTCCAGTTGTTCATATTTAAGAACATTAAATACATTTTTAAGTTGCGTGTTGAAGTGTTGAGCCTAAGAAAGAATCAAAGAAAAACAATTTCAACAATATTAAGTGCTTCTCTCATGGCAAAACATGAGAGCATAAATTATTCAATGTTAGAAAAGAAGGAAAGAGGCTTCAAGAAGCTTCCTTAATGAGTTGCTGGAAAGGGCACAGGAAGAAAGAAAAAAATAATTGCAAGCATGTAATTAAGGAGCAAATGCGATGGGTGCATGTGTAAGTACATGAAGAGGCTGAGGTCTGTGTGAAACTGGGTCACAAGAAGTCACTCTTAACTAATATAACAATGAACCTACTTTTGAAAAATAAAAAGATGATTTATTTTTCAGGGACATTTATTAAAGATTTCCTGCATGAAGAGGTACACACTGATGGTATTTGGATATGCTCTACTGAAAGGTGCTTCAGCAGCGTTATAAGATAGGAGAGTAAGAAACTTAGACAGATTTTTCAAGATTTTATTACAACACCATAAACCAATAACATAAAATTTCTACAACATTAAAATAGGAAACTTTGCAATGTCTTTTTTGGCCTGTGCTGTTTAAAAGCTGAGAACAAGGAAGAGGTTTACAGAATCAAATAGTTAATTCATGAGCTGGACTGAAATATATGGATCTATGCTATAATAGACAGATTGACAAAATGTATCAAACTATTATCTTTATCTGCTTCTGTTCGCATATATGTATAAACATATCACCACTAGGCTAGTTAGGAAACTGAGGGAAGAAAAGTGAAGATCCAAGCTTTTATCTGACATGTTTGTCAGTTTTTCCATATGTTGATTGGTTGGCTGCCTAAAAGGCATAATAGCAAAAACCTGATAAACAATACATTCATGAGAGAATTCTGAGGAACATAAGCAGGAAGACTTTACGCTAACTTCTGCAGATAAAAGCAAGTCTAAACATAAAATATTCAGATTTACATACAAAAATTGTGAATGCAAATACATTTAAGCCTGCACTATTGGAATAGCATGGTGAAATATCATCTGCCTTTTCTATTATCTCTGGAATGAGAATGCTGTCCAGAAGCCCTGTTCAGGGTCCCTTTGGATCCCTGCAACCTTTTTGCAAAACAGTTATGACAAATTTGACATGCTTACTCTAAACTTGATGCCTCTTATTCAGAACCATTGAGATGGCTAGGGTGATGCTCTGCTAGGTTATCTGAGATTGGTTTGAATCTGTGGACACCAAAGAAGCAGATAAGGTTATTTGCAATATGGAATCTGTCACATGCAAGTTGAAATCGTGCCTTTCCTAACTTATATTATTGACCATAGTATCTCCTAAGCCAGGGATCCCCAACCCCCGGCTGCTCGTAGGGAACCATCCCTTCTCCCTCCTCTGCCAGTCTGCAAAGCCGGAAAGGTTGGGGAACTCTGTTCTATGCTACTTACAAGGGTTAGGGATTAGGGACACGGTTTTATAGTGGTTCTGCTCCTTAAGTGGTCTGTGCCGGTTGACAGTGATGGGGGAATTCTGGATGTTGATATGGGGTGCCCCTACACTTGATCCTCTTCCTATTCTGTTTAATATCTATCTGAAATCACTAGAAGACATCATTAGACAGTTTAGAGTAAATGCTGATGATCCTGAATTGTTCCTTTCAATCTTGGCCAAACAGAAGATGCTTCCCTGTGATCTGGAAGTCTTCTTAGACTTCCTGTTGGAACAGCAGGTCCAACTGCAACTGTTCTTGGAATCAGATGATTTGGCTTCTGTCATTTTTGGATCATAACTTGTTGGTGGGTTGCTGCTTTGCATTTTACTGATTAGATGTAACAACATTATTCTTTTGAATTATTTAATGGGCTTGAATTAAATTATTTAATGCCACTTAAGTGTTGTATGGTTGGGCAAGTACAGAATGAGTGTCAAATTAATAAATTCTTTACCTCATGAAAATTAAGGATGAGTAGTGGTGAACATACCTCTTGGATTTCAGAAAAAAACACATTTTAATAAATGAATGAAGTTACAAAGAATCTGAGGGCAAGATAAATGAATGAAGAAAGAAGTCCAAGATGTGTAAACTCAATTGCATGACAAGGGTAAAAAAGGGAACACAAGGTTCCTCAAGACAAGTAAAGCTGAGGATTTGGATCTCTAAGCAGCACAAGAAAAGCTAGAAGTTGCCAAGTGAAATTGACAAACAATGCAAGGACCAAGTTGGGCTTAAAGGGAAAAAAAGGGGAAGGAAACCACAGGCATCTCAGTCGAGATGACAAAATGTTACCAAATTGTCAGCTCCCCAGTGCAATCATTCAAAAGTAGGATTGGGTCAGATAAGGGTTTCATTTCAAAATTGAGAAGCATTGTATAAGAAATATGTTACCTTAAGGGAAGGCTGGATGAATTGTACTTCAAGTGCCAAAAGTATTTTCAGAGATATTCTAACCTTTCAGTTGCCCTATTTTTTCAGTTAGTACATTGCCAACATCCTGGATAGATTTCAAACCAAGTGACTTAATAATTGATTGAAAAGTGTACACAAGGAATGTTCACCCCTAACTCCTTATTACAGAAAAGATTTTAATAGGAATACTGATTTGATTTGGCTCAGATAAGAAAGAGAAGCATATTTTTTTATCGAACATATAGACATAAAATTGGCGAAGTAAAGAATAATATTCAAAATTATCTTGCTGGAAAAGACACTGGGCTGAAATTTAAAGGAATTATTCAACAAAGAAAAATATTAAATTCAGCATTTAAGCAAAGCAATAAAAGCTACATAGAAAAGAAATGCATAGAAAATGTATATTAAAAGGATGCTTGGATTATTCTTGATCATAAGGGGATGTAAATCAGCAACCCAAGGATTCTGCTACAAAATAAAATAAAAAAACCTGCAATTATCAGTTGTATTAAAAGAAGTATACTTAACACAAAGTAATAGTTTGATATTTTATAAAAACAAGATCCCAAGAGGAACACTGTGTTCAATTCTGGATACTATAATTTGAAGAGGTAAACAAATTGGAATAGATTTAGAGAAGAGAAATCAATCAAAGTGTACAAAACCCATATCTCAGGCCCTTGTCCCCCAAATACATGAATTTGGTTGATGCAATATTGAATTAACTCAATAAATTAAGGACCTTTTTGTCTCCGCTTTTGTGGCATGTTTCTGCTCCTACCACACCATTCAGCTTGACCACAGGCCTCAACCCATTTGGTTTGGGGATGAATCGGAGTTTTGATGCTGGAGGAACATACTTTCTCTGCTGCAAATTTTTAATTTCTTCCTTACATAAAAGCCGAAGCTGCACTTTGGCCAGATGGCTCCTAAAATGGAAGTTGGCAATACTTTAAAATGTACACACAGCAGACTGTCATTTAGAGATCACTCTACCTCAAAGCGACTCTAGGTGATTTACACTAAAAACAGCACAGTACAAGAAAATAGAATTCTATCCTTAAATGACATCTAAATTTCCTGTTTATTTTAAGGTATAATTTTCTAACTACTGCATTGTCATGCAATAAAAAGTTCCGGAAAGTGGCACCAGCTGGCCAATCTCCTCAGGTCTTAGAATTCAGATAGTCTCAAGCCTGGTTAATACATGCGTCAGTTAGGCTTAACTGGAAAGGGAAAAAATAACCCAAAAGAAGGAAATGGCAGAATGTTGCCAAGGAAACGAAGTGGAGATGTCTATAATCATCTGAAATCAAGTTCTGACTTCAAGGCAATTTCACACTTACATTCCACAAGAAATGTGGAAATCCAACTCCACAAAAATGCATGATACTGTTCACATGGCTCTGGAAACCAATTCAGATGAAGAGAATTACAATATGAGGAAAAGTCCTGGGGGGGGGGAGGAGCCCTAATGGCATAAGATCCTTCCCACCACCTCTAATAGGTTACAATGACTGAACACAGCTGGGAGGTATGTGACTAGCAAAAGCAGCTTTTCCCTTCATGGATCCAAGGCTTCTGGCGGCATTTGTTCAAAGCACCTGCAGATGAGCTGAACCTCCTCTGCTTTCTAATCCCAAATTAGGCATGTTATCTACGATGTGAAGACTACCTTCAAGTCAGAATTAACAATGGAACACCAACTGTCCAGTTTCAGCGCCAAGACATCCCAAGCATAGGAAAAAGTAGGGATAAGGAATCAGATTTAATCTCTTACCTGCTTGGGTGCTTTAGATGAATCGCATATTAGAAAGGAAGGGCAGTTTAAGCTTTGAAAAAATACCCAAACCAACAACAAAACTCCATTCTAGCCTTGGACAGGGCTCCTTTGCCCATGAGGGAGACACAAGGACCGTCAGATCTGTACAGAGAGTCAGTTTATGCAGTACAGAGGCAGGCTTCCTATTTCCTGCCTTGCCCAGCACAGGCACCTTTAGCAGTCCAGCATCCCCCTACCCTGAAGGAAGCAGGACACAACTACAGCATTGCCACCATTTGAAAGATACGGTAGATGGGCTGACCTGATGGCCTAGATTAGATCTGTAGAATCCCCCACCCTTAGCATAAAGGGAACCCATAGCTTTCTTTGCATTTTTGAGCTTCTGGTTTCCTAATACCTGATTCCAATGTTCTGTAATTTGCTCCAAATAGACTTTCGGAAGAAAAAAAGTAAATTTTTTTGAAATGCTGTCTCCGTGATATAGAAGAAAGATCGAAGGAGCTCTGAAACATAGCAATCCATCATCCAGTACAGGAATTTAGACATCAGCTCTTCCCGAAAACGATGTTCAGAGGCAGGAACAGAATGGCCACTTTCTATAAGCAAAATCCAGATTTAGTGACAATAAGATTTCTGTTCTTGCAAGAAGCATCTATTCACATTATCTCCACAACAAAGATATAGGTTAAAGGTTAAAAATTAAATCTGACAGATAAAATCATGCAAACCATTAATGACTTTGAAATGCCAAAAGCAAACGTTTTTGCAGTGAAACAATGCTGCATTATAAATCATAGATGTTAACTGTATGTACATTTCTCTCCAATGCATGCACGAAATTTTATAGTAGGAACATCAACTTCTTCTGCCAAAGAGATCAGAGTCTGAAAAAAGAGCTGCCTTTTCAAACAAGCAAGCAGTCTAATAAAATGTCTCTTATTTACAAGGCTACTTTACTTATATAATTAAGAACGTGAAAATGACATTTGAAGATATTTTCAAAAATAAAAGCATTTTCTCAGGATATCACTGTTAATACCTTTGGTGAGACGAAGCCAAGCACAATCACTCACTCTCATTTTCCATGTCAATTCCTCCAAAGAAAACAATCCAAACTTCCCCAGGGAGATAAACTTCTTCACATTTCTGTAGAAGCGGCACTTGTTGTGGTTTGAACCCCAAAGTGCAGGAGGCACCACTCTCTCTAAGCATTCCCTCACAAAAGTATACACTTGCCAGTGGCTGCTGTACTGCTTCAGCAACACTATGAAGTCAGAACTGGAGGAATCTCGGACCTGTTCCTTAGCCTTTTTTTCAAATAATTCAGTTCTTTCAGAGTTTCTGCTTGAAGCATCCATTTCTGAAAATAGATTCAAGGCATCTGACCTGCTTGCGATGCAACCTTCTACTGGATTGTCCTGCTGCCTCCTTGATGAAATTTGCTCTACTTGGTGACCATTTTGTTTGAAACTCTGCTCCCCTAGGCTTATCTTATCTGGTTCAGAAACGGAAACGGGACAATTCCTTTTTAATATTGCTTGGTAAGGACACTTTGCATGGTTCTGTAAGAGTTCTTGGAAGACACTTCTCATCTGCCAATAGCGTTTTGGAAGCCTCTTCTTTTTCTTGGGACCACTTTGAAAGCCAGAACTACCAGACTGCTTCAGAATCTTACTGCCAAAGAATACTTGTTCTACTAAGCATCGCCCTCCTGCTGGATGGCCCTTCAAGTGATTTAATACGAATGACTTAGGTAAACACTCTTTCAAACGCTGGTAGCAATATAAGAGAGAACGTCTCTCGATATGCACTACAGGAATGCTAAATCTGTCAGGCTTCCTGACAGATTTAGATGAGCAAATTTCAAGATCTTTTTCTGGCAGGACTTTTTTTGCAGGCCCCGTCTGTACAGAACCAACACCAGGGATTCTAGTTACCAGCTTTGGCAGCTTAGCATTACATGTTGGTTGTAGATTGGACTTACAAAATGTTTTAGTTTTGCTTTTGTCTTGCTTTTCACACACCAAAGCCCCTTGATTGTCATTAGCTGCACTAGGTACTCCACCGCTCTGAGGAACAGAGTTCGTAAGAGTTAATCCTTTTGAACACGATTGTATACATGCCACAGAAGCCTCAGGTTCATCACAATCTAAAATCAACTGATTTGGGTTTTTTATAGAATCAGGGTTTCTTGTTTCTTTTTCTACATTGTCCTCCTTTATCACAATTTTTATTTTCTTGGCATTAATATCGCATTGGTCTGTCCTCTTCCTTTTTAAACGCTGTGTTCTTAATGATGGGCTAAGAGGGGGGGTTTGTTGCTTTTTTATGTAGTCACCGGTTCTCATAATTTGCCTTTTCTTTGTAGGGTTTTGGCCAGAAGCACTTTCAGTTACTGAAGATTGCCAATTGTGCTGTTGTTGTGTTTCATTCCGTTTCTGCCTTTCAGAATTCCATTTCCTCCACTTTGTTTTTCTGGGATGCCATGTAGAAGATTGAAACTTTTTATGGATATAATTTGTTAAGATACAAGGTGAACGCCCAGGAACCCTCTGCCTAAGAAACTTTGGAGGCTGTGTTGCATTTCTTGAAGGAAGCTTATAGATGGGCTCTCCACAAATTTGGTAACAGCAGCTGGGAGGCACAAGGATAAACAGAGCACAATGTTCTAATATATACATCATGATGTCATCCCCAACTCTGTTCAGAATGATCTCCCAGAGCACATTATGTTGAATAGTTTCTGTCGAATTATTACGCATATAGTTACTAATATTTGGCATACAAGGCAACTGGTGGTTATTTTCATTCAATAGGTCATAACCAAATGTCAACACATTTTTTTTCTCCTTTTGACAAATTCTCTGAATGATTCTTGTAACGACATCGTTCTGACTGGAAACCTGAAAAATAGTAAAAAAAAAAAAAAAGTATCTTCTAACAAAATTTTGAATAAATCACAAATGGCATTAATTACGTACAATTGAATAGAAGTGCAAGGGGAAAAAATCCTACTTTATTCAACATACCAGTGGAGAGCTGGTATGTTGAATACCTACATGAGATGAAAAAATATTTCCACCAAATATCTTAATGAAAATCGACTTGAGCATTTCCTAATGCCTGCGTATACAGCATTTTTTCATTTAAAGCAGGAAGCAATATCTCAGTCAGATAAGGATTGCTATAGTGCTGAATGCTGACATGGCAATCTTGAATTCTACAAACATACAGTGAGGGGAAATAGTATTTGATCCCCTGCTGATTTTGTACATTTGCCCACTGACAAAGAAATGATCGGTCTATAATTGTAATGGTAGGTTTATTTTAAGAGTGAGAGACAGAACAACAAAAATCCAAAAACAAACAAACAAAAAAAAAACGCATTTCAAAACAGTTATAAATTGATTTGCATTTTAATAAGTGAAATAAGGTGTCTTTTATACAGGTAATGAGCTGAGATTAGGAGCACTCTCTTAAAGGGAACGCTCCTAATCTTAGTTTGTTACCTGTATAAAAGACACCTGTCCATAGAAGCAATCAGTCAATCAGATTCCAAACTCTCCACCATGGCCAAGACCAAAGAGCTGTGCAAGGATGTCAGGGACAGGACTGTAGACCTACACAAGGCTGGAATGGGCTGCAAGACTATTGCCAAGCAGCTTGGTGAGAAGGTGAAAATAGTTGGTGCGATTATTCGCAAATGGAAGAAACACAAAATATCTGTCAATCTCCCTTGGTCTGGGGCTCCATGCAAGATCTCACCTTGTGGATCACCTCAATAATCATGAGATCAGTGAGGAATCAGCCCAGAACTACACGGGAGGATTTTGTCAATGTTCCCAAGGCAGCTGGCACCATAGTCATACACACACACACACAAAAAAAAACCAATTGGTAACACACTACGCTGTGAAGGACTGAAATCCTGCAGCGCCTGCAAGATCCCTCTGCTCAAGAAAGCACAAATGCAGGCCCATCTGAAGTTTACCAGTGAACATCTGAACAATTCAGAGGAGAACTGGGTGAAAGTTTTGTGGTCAGATGAGACCAAAATCAAGCTCTTTGACATCAACTTAACTCGCCGTGTTTGGAGGAGGAGGAATGCTGCCTATGACCCCAAGAACACCATCCCCACTGGCAAATATGGAGGTGGAAACATTATTATTTGGGGTTTTTTTTCTGCTAAGGGGACAGGACAACTTCACTGAATCAAAGGGACGATGGACAGGGCCATGTACTGTCAAATCTTGGACGAGAACCTCCTTCCCTCAGCCAGGACATTGAAAATGGGTCATGGATAGGTATTCCAACATGGCAATGACCTAAAACACACAGCTAAGGCAACAAAGGACTGGCTCAAGAAGAAGCATATTAAGGTCCTGGAGGGGGCCTAGCCAGTCTCCAGACCTTAATCCCATGGAAAATCTGTGGAGGGAACGGAAGGTTCGAGTCAGCCTCAAAACCTTAATGATTTGGAGAGGATCTGCAAAGAGGAGTTGGAAAAAATCCCTCCTGGATGTGTGCAAATCTGGTAGCCAACTATAAGAAACGTCTGACCTCTGTGATTGTCAACAAGGGTTTTGCCACCAAGTACTAAGTCATGTTTTGCGAAGGTCAAATACTTATTTCACTCATTAAAATGCAAATAGATAACTTTTTTAAAATGTATTTTCTGGATTTTTTTTTTTTTGTTATTCTGTCTCTCACTGTTAAAATAAACCTACCATTAAAATTATACACTGATCATTTCTTTGTCAGCGGACAAACTTATAAAATCTGCAGGGAATCAAATACTTTTTTCCCTCACTGTACACTGAAGTCTGTGGTAATTCTGGTAGCAAATAAAAATGGGCAAGAGCTCCTTAAAACATTTCTAGTCGTAATTGTATCTAGAGTCTAGTAAAAACTCAGAATAGCTCATTTACACTAATCAAACTATAGGAATACAATACCTGCACAGATTTGTACCTATTGTCCATGACTGAAAAAACTAAGAAATTATAGGAAGCCAGTGTTCAACTAATGAAAAGAGGAGGGATCCTCAAGCTATTACCGCTCTCCTTTGAATAAGGCTTTGAACCTTATTCCCTGAGATGTTCCATTTAAGACAGGGTTCTTCAAACTTGGTCCTTTTATGACTTGTGGACTTCAACTCCCAGAATTCTTCAGGCAGGCATGCTGGCTGAGGAATTCTGGGAGTTGAAGTCCACAAGTCATAAAAGGGCCAAGTTTGAAGACCCCTGATTTAAGATGTTGAACAAAAGAAAGATTAGCCATTACAGAGGCTCCCAATCACCAACTTTCCTAAAAGAAAAAAAGGAAATGCCATTGCTGCTCACTGATAAAAGGAACAGCATTGGAGAACCAAGGCAGGGCTTGGGGTGACTAAAAGAAACTAAGAAAGAAATAGGCAAGAATGCAACAAACCATCAATTAGAAAACGATGGACTAATCAAGGAACTACCAGGGAGAAAGCCACACCCCCTAATAACACTGGCAGGGCAAGCCTATTGTACTGTATATAAAAAGAGCAAACCACACACTCATTAAAACGGATGACATTATGTAGCTGGGTAAGGAAGCATCTGCAAGCAAATAACCAATCTCAGAGAATGCCAAGGTCTCTGCAGTTCCTCCCTGAGCTAAATGTATTCTTCAATTGGAACGAGTGCTTATATATTAGCTCACCAGATTTTTTTCTTCTTCCAGGAAATGGTTGCTTTGATGCACACTACACCACAAACATACCCTTGGGTCCCCAAAATCCACCATTTAGTCTTTAGCATTTTAAAATAACTTTAGATCTATAACTTTAAAACACATAACACTATTGTTTTAAAACAGTGCACCAGCACTGAAGTTACCTAGTTAGGGTAATGAAAGTCCTGCAAGAAAACAACCAAGCTCGGAGAGCACCAAGGACCCGTCGTGTCAACCCTAAGCTACAAATATTCTCCTTTATTGGTAAAGCAGTGCAGCCTACAATAGGCAGGAGGAGAAAGCCCTCCTCCGACAATGGGGAGGAACAATGAGCAAACTATGCATAACTATATGTAACCATAATACATATTAGGAATTTCTCGAGGGAAATATTTCTGCATTTTCTGCAAACAAAACTTGGCTGGCCCTTGGAACACAGCGATTCCCATGTCGCGAAATAGGTTACCGTGGCCCAAACAGCCTTTCTACGGGAAGGGGATCGGTGGGACAGAAAGCAATCAGGGTCAAACGTAAACCTGTTCATTTACCTGCTGGAAGCTGAAATAGGCAGGGAGGGCCTTGCACGAAGCCAGCCGCCCCACCAAACACTGGGCGACCAGGCTACGGTAGCTCCCGAGATCCCCGTCCTGCACGAGAGGCTGCGGTTGGTCAGTTGCAAGAGTTCGCGTCTGCAGGCGCCGCACAAAGACTTCCAGGGGCAGCACTTCCGCGTAAAAGCAGCGCAGCAGCTCCCGCACAGCTCTCCATCGCCGAGGTCGGTCCATGCAGGCGCCGAAAGAAGCTATACACGGAGGCTGAAAAAGAGCACGTTTCCCGCAGTCCACTGAAACCCGACGCGCCTCCCTTATTGGCTCTTAAAGGTGCAACAAGCCACGCCCTTTAAAGCAGCCCGGGAAAAGTTTCCGCCGCCGCTACTCTCGATACCCTGGATTTCTTTGTGTGCAACTATTTCTGTAACATGGTGGTACGGATGTGATGCACACTCTGAACGCCAATATTTTGAGTTTCTGCAATAGGTCATGCAAGATTACATCAAACCTACAACAAGTAAGAATATAGGGACTGACATCCGAGGGCACCAAATTAGGAAAAGGGCGAGTGGACATGGAGATAATACTACATAAATAATTTATCTCATGGATGCGTAAAGCAGGAGTAGATGAGGTGCGACGGGCTGGTGTTAATAGTGGGATATTCTTAGCGAGGTTTTAAATATGTTCAAAGGAACCTGGGGGAACCAGATCAGCGGATTCGCCGAGCACGTGCCAAACAGGACCAGTAAGCAGACACTTGGCAAAGTTTCTGAAACCCTATATTCATTGGCCGCCGTATAAAAGAGAAAACTTAGTGGGGGCTAAACACTGTGAATGGATATATAACGGCTTCTTAGAATGATTCAAGAAAAAGCAAAATAAGTAATACCACGATTCATATTTAGTAATACTCAGAAATCACGCAACGTCCAACATATTATTAACTGGGAATCCAGGTAAGGAATCTAAACTTTTAATTGTACTTCTCCAAGACGGGGATAATAGTGAATGAATCGGAGATTGCGTTATATTTTCTGCTTATTTAAAACAATTATTTGAGTAGTTAAAGTAAAATAAAAAGTTTCTTCTGACCTATTAACAAGAAAAAAGTCAAGGAAACTGTAGGCCCACTAAATAGAGAAGATGGCAAGGAAATTACAGGCAACAGAGAAAGCAGAGCTACTTAACTCACAATTTGCGTCAGTCTTCACACAAAAAGAAACTAGCCCAACATACCAACAACAAAAAAAAAAAACCCCACTGGAAAAGCCATGCTAGAAACAAAAATTAAAATAAGCAAGCAAATGGTAAGAGAACACCTATTCTTGACAAATATAAATCACCGGGACCTGACAGATTACATCCCAGAATTTTGAAAGAGCTGGAAGATGTTATCTCAGAACCATTGTACCACATCTTTCATAAATCCTAGAGCACTGGGGAAGTACCTGAGGATTGGAAAAGGGCTGTGATCCCCATCTTCAAGAAGGGGGAAAAAATGGACCCAGGAAACCACAGACCAATCGGTTTAACATCAATATCTGTGAAGATTCTAGAAAAGATAATCAAAAAACAGATCTGCAACAACTAGAAGCAAACAAAGTCATAACTAGTAGCCAGCACGGGTTTGTTAAAAACAGATCATGCCAAACCAATCTTATCTCGTTCTTCGATAAAGTGACCAAACTAGTAGACCAGCGAAACGCAGTGGACATAGCATACTTAGATTTTAGTAAGGCATTTGACAAAGTAGACCACAACCTACTCCTTGGTAAGCTAGGAAAAGGTGGAATAGACAACATCACCATCAGATGGATCTAGTGGTGGCTGACGAACTATACTCAATGAGTAATCCTCAATGGCACTACAGCCACATGGAGAGAAGCAAGCAGTAGAGTACCACAAGCTTCTGTCTTAGGCCCAGTACTCTTCAATATCTTCATAAATGACTGAGATGAGGGAATTAAAGGGGAACTCAGTAAACCTGCAGATGACACCAAACTGACAGGAATACCCAACACCCCAGAAGACAAACTCAGGATCCAAAAAGATCTTGACAAACTTGAACAATGGGCTGTATCCAACACAATGAGTTTCAGTGTGGAGAAAAGCAAATTCTTACATTTATGCAGGAAAAACCAAAGGTACAAATATAGATTGGGTGAGACCTGGCTTAAAAACAGTAACTGTGAGAGGGATCTTGGAGTCCTAGTGGACGATCACTTGACTATGAGCCAGCAGTGTGTAGCAGCAACCAAAAAAGCTAATACAGCCCTGTGTTGTATAAACAGAGGCATAGAATCAAGATCACGTGAAATATTAGTACTGCTTTATAAAACCCTAGTAAGACCACACCTAGAATATTGCAGCCAATTTTGGTCACCATATTACAAAAAAGATGTTGAGAGTTTGGAAAAAATTCAAGAGAAGAGCAACAAAGATGACCAAAGGCCTGGAGACTAAAACATATGAAGAATGGCTACAGGACTTGGGTTTGGCTTGTCTAAAGAAAAGAAGAAATAGGGGAGACATGATAGCCGTGTTCCAATATCTCAGAGGCTGCCACAAAGCAGAGGGGGCCGGATTGTTCACTAAAGCACCAGAGGAAAGGACAAGAAACAATAGTTGGAAACTGATCAAAGAGAGAAGCAACCTGGAATGAAGGAGAAACTTCCTGACAGGACAATCAACCAGTGGAACAGCTTACCCCCAGAAATCGTGGACACTCCATCACTCAATATTTTTAAGAAGAGACTAAACGTTCACCTAAGACAGTATAGGTTCTCTTGCTTGAGCAGAGGGCTGGACTAGAAGACCTCCAAGGTCCCCTCCAGATTCTATTCTATTCCAATTATTTCCTAGGCAGGTAAGTTTCATCAAATTTAACTGGCTATAAAATGTAGGTACATGCAAAACATTAAATCTTTCTGGGTTCTTTTGCATTGTGACCTAGCTGAATTGCAGCTTTCATTAACTTCAAGGAATTACGAACTTTTTCAGAGAATACCAAAGACAAGGGATACTTCGTTGGTTTTTCTTTCACAGCTCTTTAAGCAGTGATTTGGCAAGCTTAAGTAGCTTTCACTGCCCTTTTTAACCAAAAACAAAAACCATTTACCCTCAGCTGCTGTGCAGAAGTTACTGAAGCACTTTTCTTCCTTTTGGAGAGCTGGTGGGGTGGTTTAGACCCATATTTCCTGTTCTTGGTCCTAAGGCCATCTCAATACTATCCTTTCAGCTACAGTTTCTTCTATTTGTCAGGTGAGGGTACTGGTTATACATCAGTAACTTCCTTGCAAGGGGCAAGGTATAAACATTCAAGGCTTTGTGTATGTATGTGTGTAAATTCTAATAATTCATACAAGTGAACTGTGCCTCACATCTCTGTAGCCACTACCCAGATTTTAGTATACATATTAAGGGGACCCATATGGTAGGTGCCATGATGGAAAAGCAGCATCTTGCTTCTCCTATTTAGGCAACGCTATTTATAATTCTCCCATCCTTGACACATTGTTTGCAAATCAGAATGACTGTCCAGAGGCTGCTACTTCCCATCTTCTAGGAAAGTCCAACTTTCAATTCTCCCTGAAATGCATTTCCAAATCAAAGGTAATGTGTGAAATTTCCACTAAATCGATTCTTCTCAGCAGTATAATCAGAATCTGAGGTTGAGAAATACCATATATGGTTTGGATGTATGTATGTATGTGTGTGTGTGTGTGTGTGTGTGTGTGTGTGTGTGTGTATATATATATATATATATATATATATATATATATATATATATATATATATATAAACATTTATTTCTATACGATGTGGAGGAAACAAACATAATTGAGAGGACGAGAAGGTAACCAGATCTCTCTCATATTACCAATAACATTTCTAATTAAAATTCAAAATAAACTATTTTCATGTAAATCACATAGTATTTACATTGCAAGTCATTTAACCAAGCACTTATATTTTGTAGTTTCCAACATGAGCCAAATAAAATTGTATTAATAATTCTCTCAAGATATTTTATATAGCTGAAATCTTTAAAAAAATGCATATGGGTGCATCATGAAAATATTTCTTCTATTTAATAATTTAAATTTTGCTATAGATAAATAAAAGTAAAATTAGCAAAATGAAAGCTAGGGAGTTAATTGATACATGGTCAATTAATGTTGATCCAGGCTAAATTAGTGATACTTTAGTCCCATAATCAATGTTAAATTAGTCACTATTTATTTGCTCTATTAATCTGAGTGGGATTGAATATAATAACTACTTTAGACTGGAATCAACTCATTTTCAGTAAACAATCCTAATGATCTAAAACCTGATATTATCTTGAGAACTGCCAGTAGATTTCTGGAACTCTAGTGGGGAAAATACATATGCATATTGAGCAGTATTGAAAGCAAAACCTTTTGGCAATAAAGTTACTACAGTATTAAGCATACTCAAATCTCATTCAAGTCAGTGGCCTTAAGCATGCACAGCTAGGCACAGAATGGGAGCCCTATCTCCTCTCCCCCACCATTTCTTAATGTGGAATACATGACCTCACAGAAACTGTGATTGTTCTCCAGTGTTCTGTATTTGAAAAGTAAAAGGCAATTCCATAGATTAGATGTAACAATTGTATGGGAGTCAATGGGGATTGGTCTTGGAAAAAAACCCAAAACATAGCAGTGTTCATGCCACAATCTAAATGGTTTTTTAAACTTGCATTTTGAGCATGCTTAAAATAATTTTCACATGAAATATAAACATTATTTGATTAATAAACATAGCATCCCAATTTATAAAAAGGCTCATCATAAAAAATTTAAGCCCCTGCACCAAAACAAAACATGGCAATTGGGCAGTTACAATTACCTTACCAGTAGAGTTTGAACTGATTTTCCTTTATGAATTTTTCTTGAGATCTTTATTCTCTGCCTGCCTTTTGCTTCAGACCACTCTTCATTATGGTTTATATTATTATAGAATGAAGAAGGTCTACAGTCTCCCTGCCGAAGTATCATTGGCACAGTAGTGAGTCATGCAACTATGTATTTACATTCTTCTAAAAACATGTTTTTGACTGAAAATGTAATGACTTCATCTTAGAAAAAAAGATCCTATTTAGTGGAATCAGGAAATTCCAATTTTAGGATTGAACAAAAGTATGTGTGTACCAAAAAAATCCATTCCCCAAACTACAGAATACTATTTGCTGCATGTACTTATTTGACTTACACTAATATATTTTTTTAAAGTTACATGCTTTGCATCCAGGACCAGCTTAGAATGGTTTGAAATATACCATTGAGAGTACAT